TGTTTCTTTTTTAAAGTATGGAATAAATTAAGAGAATATATTCATTAATGAGTGGATATATATATAATTAATATAGAAATTTTAAGTTTTTACCATATTTTAAAGTTGTCTCTATTTTACATGTAAATGCCTGTATGTGTCATTTACACATTTTCTAATTTTCCATAATGTGTGGTGATAGCTTATTCATTTTATTTATTAAGTAAAATAATTGATATCATTTGGAAACCACTTAATGACAGTTATTAAAACTAGTACATTAAAGATGAAGGTGCACTGCCCCGTGGATGACTTAAGAGAATGATTTTGAGGAACTAACTGAAGTTAGATACAGGCAGTCCTGTACTGCTAGAAGAAAGACCAGAATTTTAGTATTTACCTCTGTTGTTCCTCTGGAACACTTGATAGCATCTGGGCATATCCATCTCTCTGAATCCAGTTCCTTTTTTTTTTTCAATCTCCAATCGTAACTTTTATTAAATGAAAATAACTCATCACAGAATTGTAAAGCCAGTCATTTTACTACACACCCTTGGGGCATTTAAAAAAAATTCTGGCTGTAGGTATTTGGGGGTTTGCTACAATTATTCATTGTGCGAGTTTTGCTTTCCATTGATTGATCTCCCACAGCTAGCAATAACTTGGCACATGGTTAACTATTTAAGTATTAGTTGAGTGGAAGAAAAAAGACTGGTTGAGGTTCCATGTCTCTCAGATAGGCACGATCACAGTAATGCCAGCTTCTTCAAAGGTTTGCTTTTGGGGATTTGACGAGTTTTTGTTAACTAGAGTAGCATTTTGATGGAAATAGAAATTTTCTTCAGATCTGTTATTTATAGAATGCTATCAATTCATTGACTAGATTTATTGGTATACTTAATTACATAACATTTTATGAATGCTTTAAATGGCAAGGTGAACTGCTATTTTAAGAATTAATAGCCTCTAAGAAACAGAGGAACTAATTCATTGTAAAGCCTTAGTGCGCGTGCATGTGTGCGTGCACACACAGACAAACACACTCATTTGGAAAATTCATGTAAGTTTTCTGAACTTCCCCTAACTCTGCAACAAATCTCATTTTATAATGGAACTTGTCTACACAGTTTCTTCAACAGTTCAACTTACAGAGTCTTAGTTCACAACATGTAAAGATAGTGTACAGGAGTTTTAATGAAAGAGAATTGTTCCAGATTTTGAAAATGATTGGTAAGTGAAAGTAAAAAAGAAAGCAAACATTATTCCGTCTCCTTCTATACAGATTATGTCCCAGGATTATACAGTTGTAAGAGGGAAATTGTATCTTTAGAGGAATCGCAGCTATTAGAAATGCTACAGAATGACAGGCCTCGTGGATTTAATCATCAGGGACTCTGAAGATACTACGGAAAAACTGGTTGTGAAACTTGTAAAATGCATTGGCTAAAACAGAATCCATAAACCTTTTTAACTGGTGAGAGTCAGGCACTCTGGCTAGGAGACAAAAGTCAACCCTGACAAGTAAATAGTACGAGTTGGGCTGGGAAGGAAGTCGGCACTGAACAGCTGTGTACGGATGAGTGGAGGGAATACGCTACAAATCGGTAGTGAGGACTGTGGGAAAGGCGCTCTCCTCATTTTCTTTCCCCTCCTACCCTGAAACAGGGTTATGGTTTCATTGCCATGGTAGCATATACATTCATCATAAAGGTGAAGGAAAGTGTCTCTGGCCTGAAGAAGTAGGAAAGCTCCTTGGAAGCTGGACCATGATTTGGAAATCCTAAGAAAAGACAACTCTGTGTGTATGTGTCTAAATCCACAAGGGCCCCAACCACATTCAAGCTACTTGAGTTCAGAACAGAATCTAAAAATCAGAGCCCAGAGAAATGCCCTATAAGATAAACCACAGCTCGGGTTCTGCATACAGATAGTGACCCCTGGCAGTTAAGCCAAAAGCTTTGAGGATTGAACTTTCATGGGGACCGCTACCCCGTGTAATGCTACTTAGAACCTGTGGTCTAAACTTAAAGTCATGTTCCCAAGAGAGCCTTATTAGCGCCTACAGTCCCATGGCCAATATTTGGAGTATCTACAATGCACTGCAAATTCTTGCTGTAAAAAAGAAAAAAAGGAAATTATGACTCTTCTTAAGGAAACCATGAGAGGAGCCAGAAAATAGAATTATAAGAAAGTCCTTAAACAAGCCTTGAGTTAAAACTAAGCACTTGATGTGAATGGAAAAATAGGGTTTAGGATTTGCTTTTGATATTTTGAAAATTTTTCCTGAAAATCAGAACATGAATCAAGTCAAATTTCAGAATTGAAAAATGTTATATGTGAAGTATAAATTCACTGTGTGGGCTCAGCTCAATGGAGAATGACTGGAAAGTGAGAACTTGAGATGCATAGTAGAGATCTGCAGGCTGTATCTTCTCCATGTAGGTTCATGTTGTGCTCTCTGCTCCTGGAGTAGTGTGCTGTGGACACATCTGCGTGCTCCTCACGTAATTGCTCCTTAGCGGCTGCAGAGATCTCTGTGCAGTTTGAGCCTTGTCACTCCACAGGTTCAGAGGAAGCCATTACTTGCCATTAAAAAGACTAAAGACAAATATGTAGAGTAATTATTGGAGTGAATAGAAAATATTATGGCTCTTATTTTCTAAATAATCTGTGGTTCAGAATGTTTACTTAAACTAGTCAGATGGCTGTGAATTTGCTTGGCCTACTTGGTTGTACAAAAGTGATTTGGCACTTAACACAAGTTTTAATAAATCCGGATATCTGTCATTTTAGTGAAGTGATTATGCTGAAAAATATTCAGAGGACTTTTCAAGCCTTGAAAAAGGGTTTATTTACTGTGGGTGATGTTTTAAGTATAGCCTCATTGATGGGATGGATATAAACATAATGGATATGTTGGAGTTAACTGCTGTGGGAGGAGGATAGATGGTGTGTTGTTTTCACTGGCGACATGGAGTTGTATATGTGTGTGTTTCTTATCAGAGTTCCATAAGAGCATGTTCATGCAAGTGTGTAATGTACCTTGAACAAGTGTGTGTGTGCCTGTGTGTCTAAGCCTTGTGCTTTAGTAGTAGAGCTGCGCAGATCAGATTTCCTAGCAGACCTCCCGAAGATTTGTGCACTGATGAAAGACTGGCCTTCTTTTAGGTTGGTATAGTTTTTTCTCTTTCATCTTTGGTGACCCATTTAAGAAATCCACAAACATTTGGCTTTTTAAGTTAATGAACTCTTACAAAATTTGTGGATTAGTTAAATTTGGGTATCTGTTTCACACTTAAATCACATCATATCTTTTTAATGTGCATTTAGAAATTAATGTTAGTTTTTAAAAAATATGATATAACAATGAAGTAGTTTTTTTAGAAGAGAAAAATAGGTTCTCATATTTATTTGGACACTATACAAACAGGAGACTTAGGTAATATTTGTAGAGATGTATTTGTTTAATTGTTGAAATGGCCATATGTTTTATTAAGAGAACTTACTACAGGAAATATCTGTGGTACCGCCACAAGGCTTGATTCATAAACCTGGTTTGGGATGCGGTTTTAAAGAATATTACTTGAGTTTTGTATCATACCAGCTAAACTTTAGCTCTACTTTTGATTAATGTTTGTATCAGGAAACAAAATTTGTGGTATCAACAAACAAAATTCTAAAGTAGGTCATGAATCAACACGTTTTTAGATTATAAACAAGTTATAGTTTTAATTTGTAAATTATAGAAAATTTATAATTTTAGTTTTTACCTTAAGGTTTTGAGTTGTCCTTTGATAATGATAATTAGCAATAATTAAATCAAGTTAAAAGAATTTCCCTCCTTTGAGTGATGTAAATACATAGGAAAGTAATTTTTTGCTCATGTGTTTGTTTTTTGGAATAAATAACATGTATTTTATCTTCCTTCTTATATGTAGGTTGAGCTATAGTATTAGACACCAAATTCATAAAAAGATAAAAAGAATACTTCAGCTTTCTAATTAGAAAAAGAATGTGTTTTCATGAAGGATATTTTAGAATATACAAAAGAAAATGTGAAAAACCATTGTCCATAAAGCATCTCAGAAGCCATCATATGCTGTAGCTTTGATTTTGTTTTGTTCCCAGTCTAAGTATAATTGGACATACAATTTTTTCTAGCTTTACTGTTGTATGAAAGCCGCTTGTTTGTTCTTGGCTGACCAGAACCAAAATAATCGCACAGAACTATATTAATTAAATCACTGCTTGGCCTATTAGCTTATGCATATTTCTAGCTCACTCTTACTTCTTAAATTAACCCATTTCTATTATTTTATATTTTACCCAGAGGTCCATGGCCTAACGGCAAGGTTCCACCTTACAGCTTGTGTCTTTCTCCTCTGGTGGTTTCATGGGATCTCCCTACTCAGCCTTCTTCCTCCCAGCATTCAGTTTTCCTCACCTACCTCTGTTCTGCCCCGCTATAGGCCCAAAGCAGCTTCTTTATTCATTAACCAATAAAAACAACACATAGAAAGACCTCCCACAGCACTTTAGTTTAAGTAATATTTTGGTGATTATAAAACTTATGGTGCTTCTGGTTGTCTATTTCCCAAAGTGAAATTATCGAGTCAAAGGATCTGTATATTCTCAGATTATTTATGTGTCTGGGTCCCTCCTCCCCCTTTAAAAGTCAGGGTCTGGTGTAACCCAGGCTAGCCTTGAACTTAGTATGTAGCTGAGGGAGGATGCCTTTTATTACTTTTAGCCCTCCTGCCTTCACTTCCTGAGTGAGTGTTAGAATTACAAACAGGCTTGGCTTATTTGGTGTGTTGTCAAACTAGGGCTCCATGCTTCATAGGCAAGTGCTAGCAACTGAGCCACGGGTTTTCCTTTAAGAAGAGCAAATTCCTGGCTGAGGCTGTAACTCAGTTACTAGAGAGCTTAGTGAGTAAGCAAGTAAGTGTGGCAGCCAGAACTTGAGGCAGCTGGTCCCATTGAAAGCTCTTTGCTCAACTACCTGTTTCTTTTGCATGCAGTCCAGGACCCCAGCCCAGGGGATGATGCTGCTCACATCATAGTGGGTCTTGGCACCTCAGTCACCCAAATCTCGAGAATCCCTCACAGGAACATCCGGACTTCCTGGGTGAGTCTATATCCTGTGAAGAAAACAATTTGCGCTATCCATCATGGGCAAAGGACTTTCTCTGTACTTCTGTTTCTCCTTTGGATTTTTGATAAGAAGGTCGTGCTGTCTTTGTGGAATCACTTTGTAATATCACTGAAGTTCTTTGGAAGAGTTTGAGGAGAAAAGGTTAACTCAGTCATGGTTTGATAGAACCAGTGAAGCCAGTTTGGTTTTTCTTTGTGAGTAGTTTTTGGTTATCGGGTCAGTATATTTATCGTTTATATTCCTTTCATCTTTAAATCTTGATAGGCAGTATGTGTGTAGGAGTTTATCCAGTTTTTTGTCTGGTTTGTAGTGGTTGTGGTAATGTCTTACAGTACTGTGTCTGTGGCTTCAGTTAAATTGTCTCCTATTTCTGATTTGCTCTATCTGAATCTACTTCATAGAATTGGACATAAATTCATTTGATTTTTTTTTTTAAGGCTTAGCTTTGTTGATTCTGGAGGTGGGTCTTATTTCTGGTTGATGTTTATTTCCTTCCTTCAGCAGACTACAGACTTGGTTATTTTTCTTTCTGGTTCTTTGAGGTTTCTTAATTTTCCTTTTTCAGAGCTTGATGTGGGACCCAAGACTGTGAGTGCATCAGGCACGTGCCCTTCAGAGAGCTGCACTCTGGGTGTGGTAGTTTTTATTGTGGGTATTTAAGTACTGCTCTAAAATGTAAAAATTCCTTTACATTTTGATGTGCTTTTGTTTCTCTCAAAATACTTGATCATTTCCTTCTTGATTTGGTCTTCAGCTCTTTGGTTATCTAGTAATGTATTGTTAAATTTGCACATTAGCAAAATTCTGTTTTTATTCTATTGTGGTTGGAAAGCATACTTCAGACTTAAATTTGTTAAAGCTTGTTTTATGATCTAACATGTGACTTGTTCTATAGACTTTTCAGTGTATTTGAGAAGAGTGTACATTCTGTGACTGTGAATTTGAAATATTTTTTGTGTGTTTGGTCTGTAATGTAAGTTTGCTTTTATTTTTCATCAGGATGAACTGTCCATCATCGAAACCTTTAGTTTTGTTTCTCTTCACGCTGCTTTTTTTATTTGGATGCTTTCTTGGTGGGAGTGTACGTCGTAATTGCTGTAGCTTTTGAGTGAAGTGACACTTTCCTGTCATGTATAGTATTTATCTTTGTAAGTATGCCCGTGTGCCTGTTTTTGTTTGTCACTTCCCTATGTGGAATATTTCTGTCCTTTCAGTTCTAACCCATATATACTTTTAAATCTAAAGTGAGGCTTAAGATATTACATGGTTGGATCTTAGCTATTTTGAATTCATTCAGCTATTCTCTGTGTCTCACTCTAGGACAGTTACTCATACACTCTTAGGTTAGTGTAATCCCTTGTTTTCCAGTTCGCTAGTGCTCTTCTTGCCGGTTTCATCTGTATTTATTTTGTTCTCTTTATGTTATTGTGCTTGCACTGTTTTCACATTTCTTTCTGTGTATCCATAGAAATATCTGTTACTGTCATGGATAGTAAATAAAATGTGACAGTCTCTTTAAACTGAAAACTTGAATTAGGCGCAGAAATTCAAGTCATTTACTCTTCCTCTTGTTTTACGTTACTGATCCCACATCTTACATTTATTTATTTATATTCTATGCCCATTAGGATTTTTGTGTAGTTTTTAAAAATATCTATAGTTCAATTTCTGTAGAGAATTAAAAGTGATTTATCTTACTTATAGATTTTTTTCTGTCTTCTCTTTTTTATTTTATTAAAAAGAGATTTATTTCGTATATAATTTGAATCTGATTTTCCTCCTCTTAGATTCCCCATACCTTCCTATTGGAATCCACACCCTTTCTGCTAGCAGGCATCTAAATAATAATAATAACAACAACAATAATAATAGCAAAAACAAACAGAACAGGACAAACAGAAGAAATTAATAGCCCAAGGGAAAAAAGTACAGCATACACTTGAAGATGCAGAGACACATTTTTGTTCACACAAGAATTCCCTAAAAACACAAAACCAGAAGCCAGAACACGCACACACATAAAGCCTTGTCAAAACCTTATGGGACAGAGACCCTTAAATGCTATTGAGTTCATTCTGTATTGGCCATCTCCTGCTAGGCATGGGACTTGGCCTTATGTCCCCAGACTCCATTGGAGAGAACTGTCATTTTCGAATGGTTATCAACTGAACCATAGCTTCTGGGTTTGGGGTGGGGGCTTCTGTACACTTCTCCGCTCTGGCACCCCATCTGTTGAAGACTTGTGCAGACCCTGTGCCTGTTTCCATGGCCTCCGTGAGGTTATATGTCCATCGGCCACTGTGTTTAAAAGGCCTTGTTTCCTTGGTGTTCTTCATCCACTCTGCCTCGGACACTCTTTCCCCCTCTTCCTCAGGGTTCCCTGAGCCCTGAGGGGAGGGGTTTCACGGAGACATTTTGTTTAGGACTGAGAATTCCAAAGTCTTTTGTTTTCTCTTCACATTGTCTGCCTATGGGTCTCTCTATTTCTTTTCATCTGCTGCAGCAGGAAACTTCTCTGATGATGGCTAAGCAAGGAACTGATCTATGAGTATATGAGTGTATATGAGTAGAACATTGATAAAAGTCATTTGTGGATATATTCCTTTAGAAAAAGAATAGTATTTGGTTTTCTCCTAGGCACCTGGCTTTATTTGTAGTTTTAAAACTATTTTTTATGGAATCAGTTTATAAAATTTCATTTTTATTGTTCATTTTTATAATAAAGCTATAAATCTTCTATGTTTAAGAATTAGTTAAAATGTTTTTGTGTTAAAACTGTATATAAGTTGAATAGAGTTAACATTTCTTTCTTGTTTAAATAGGGTTCTGATAGTCACTCATACAGAGGAAGGCCTTGAGCACGTGGATTTTGGAGAATCCATTCTAAAAGTGTAAAAAGTGCAAAAGGTAAAGGCATCTTATAGTGTTCTATTGTATTGATTTTTCCTTGAAAAAAAATGTGTAAAAGGACTTAGAAATTACTTGGCATGCTCATTTGAGGAAAGCATTATTTAAAAAAATTTGCTTTTGTGTTAAGTCCAACTCATTTGGCAGACGGTAGTTACTGTTTATGTATTATTTAATTAATGATTATGTGATGGTTAATAAGACTGCAGCTATCTCTGTCTCATGAAGATTGCATTTTAAAGGAAGACAAGCAGTAAACAAACCATTAGTGGTACCAAAAGAATTAAAATGGACAGTAGACTGGAGTGGCTTTAGTAGCGTTAGCCAGAGACAGCTGTGTTGAAAATGTGTTGAAAATGGCAGGTGCTGAGCCATGTGTGGCTCTGAAAGAAAAAAAGAAATTACATTGGCAGGAGTTTAAAGAACAGTGTAAATGTGGCTGGAGTGTGCCCTAGGTACTGCAGAGCAGACATGAAGATCAGCCTGCAAAAAAGGAAATGAGGAGTAAAGCAGATGGGGAGAAAGCAGTCAGGTGTTCCGATTGAACTCTTCTTTTCTGGACACCCCGGAAACCTATAGAAGAGTGTGGTGCTGGGGAGATGGCTCACTGGGCAGAGTGCTGGCTGTGCAAGCATGTGGGCTAGCCTGAGCTCACAACCCTAGCTCTCACATAAAAACAGACAAACAAACAAACAAAAAACTGTTGTGGCATTGTATACCTGTAAGCCCAGCACTTGTAGGTGGAGTCAGGTGATTCTTCAGAACTCCCTGGCCAGATTAGCTAAATTGGTGAGCTTCAGGTTCAGTCAGTCTCTGTTTCAAAATGTTAGCTAGAGAACAATAGAAGAAAACATGGTGTCAAACTCTGGTTTACACATGTACATGCCTTGCACTTACATGTGCATATACATAACATACACTACATAGTATACACCCACACAAACTATAGCTATGTCAAAAAGACATTGTGATACCAGATGTGGTAGCACATGCCTGTTTTGGAGGCTGGGAAAGGATCCAAAATTTGAGGCCAGCCTGGGTCTGTGATAATTTGCCATGGGGCAGCAGGGCTGGGGGTGGGGTAGGGGGGTGGGAGCGTCTATATTTAAGGCTTCAAAGTTGGAAATAATAGAGTAAGAAAATGTATTTAGGAATTATTGGCATAAAGAAGTGCTTGAGTGTTTTGCATTCAGTTTCCTATGAAATGTATTCAGCCATGGTACGCACTGATAGTTATCATAGGAAGTGTATTCAGCCCTAGTTCACACTGATAGTTATCATAGGAAGTGTATTCAGCTCTAGTTCACACTGATAGTTATCATTCAGCCCTAGTTCACACTGATAGTTATCATAGGAAGTGTATTCAGCCCTAGTACACGCTGATAATTATCATAGGAGAAGCGATGTCATTAAAATGAATACAAAAGCTGAAAATGTTCTGCAGTAGAGAAGAAGAAATGATTAAGTCAGTACAGAAATGATGGCTACATCACATCCACCAAGGGATTGTCTAGAGAATCAAGGAAGCAGCCTCTGCATTTAGCAATACAGTGTTTGTAAATACAGATAAGCGATCCAGTGGATGCTCTAGGAGTCCATCAGTAAGAGTGACGAGAAAGAGTGAGGACATAGAGACTGCAATGGCAAACAGCTCAGCTGTATTTCACGCCTTGAAATCTCCTTAAAGCCAGTGTGTTAGCTCCCTTGTCCCTGTGGTGCACTGCCCAGCGTAAGCTACTGTAAAACAGACTTCTTGATTATTATTTTGGATTCTGGGTTCAGTAGACCATGGTTATTTGCTTTTGGGTTTCTGGGCTCATTGTGAAGTTGACCATTAAGGCTGCAGGAACATGAAGCAGAAGAGAAGGCAGGACACAGGAGGAGGACAGGGCAAGACAGCCTAGGATCTGGCTGCCATTGACCTACTTCTGCTCACAAGGCCTCACCTCCTACCTTTTACCTTTTACAAAGGTCAATAATACCTTTGTAGCATGAGTCAGTCAGAGCATCAATCTGCTCATTATGTTAGAAGCCTTAGGATATATTTGATTCTAGAACTACCCTGGAGACACACCATTACCCAGAGATTTACTTCATTAATCTCTTAGATTAGTGGCTCTAAACCTGTGATCACAACCCTTTTGGTGGTCTAATGACTCTGACAGGGTACCTAAGACCATCGAAAAATGCCGATATTTACATTATGTTTTATAACTAGCAAAATTATAGTTACGAAGTAGCAAAACAAATAATTTTATTGTTAGGAGTCACCATGCGGAACTATACTACAAGTTGCAGAATTAGGAAGGTTAAGATCCACTGTCTTAGATGTTTCTTAATCCAGTAAAGTTGACCAAGATTAACCAGTCACAGCTAAATACAGAAAAATAGTTTTGCAATTGATACACATTCACAGGGACAGAGAGAATGGGAGAGAAAAAAAAATGGACCTCGAGAAGCTAAAGGAAGTGTGGTAAGTTTCTTAAACTAGCAATGGAGGTCTGAGGAACTTCTTGTCACCAGAGAGCCTCTGAAATTGCCATGAATTTCAAAGCCCTCTTTTATTTCTGGAAATGAAAGTGATGGTGGTATTAAACAGAGTAATTAATTGCACATATACTGGAGAGATTTCTTTCTTCTGACTCTGAAATGTGTGTAGTTGCTCCTGATATTCCCAGAAGTCTGATTATTCTTTAGTAAGTGTAAAATAAGTAAGAGCTAAATGGAAGGGTTGATAAATAAAAGCAATGTGTGAAGAGTAGAGAGAAAAGTTAAAAATTGAATAAACTGATTAAGCTGTCTTATCCTTCATATTCAAATAAGATTTCAAAAAAATCAAGGAAACAGAAAAAGTAAATAGGGAATGATGTAAGAAACCTTGCTTGAATGACATAAATTATAGCCTACCGAATAACTGTTACAGCTAGAAAAATAAGTAGAAAATGGGGTACATTACCATTAACTTTTAGAACAGAGGGTTGTTTTCAGGGTGAAAGAAGTCAGTCACATAAGAAAGGATTAATAATCAGAGCAGCATTGGACTTGTGAAATCATTTCTCTTTTAACAAGCAAAAGTTAAATAAATTAAGTAAATAAAAAATGGTGACATCATGTGTTGGTCAGCGTTCGGTCACCTTGACAAAACACCCAAAATAAACACATTTTTAAAAGGAGGAAGGGTTAGCTTGGCTCATTGTTTCAGGGGGTTCAGTCTCCAGCCACTTGATGTCATTGCTTGTGGTGAGCCTGGACATCATGTGGTAAAAGCTGCTCACTTTGTGGTACCCAGAAAAGATACTAGGGTGCTGATAACCTCATTCCTTCAACATTTTACCTTCTGACATAGCTAGGAACTAAGCGTTCATCACATGTCATTTGAGATCAAACCATGTCACCTAGGGTGAGAAAAGAGCTTCACTAGAGACCTAGGGAATCATCAGAGTGATACTGAATACTGATCCCAAGATGACAGCACTGTTCTTGGTGTACGATAGCAGACATTGTAAGAATAGATTAGCAAGTTCTGGGGGAAACAGTTGGAAAATGGCGAGAAGTATATTTAGATAGTCATGAGTTTGTAGTAAATCAGCAACAAGTATGTGTAAAACCAGATAAGCGGTAAAGGGAAAAAGCCATTACACACTTTCCTCCTGCTGTGATAAAACACTGTGACCAAGGCAACTTGTGAAAGAAAGCATTTTATTGGGTTTACAGTTCCAAAGTGTTAAGAGTTCATGGTGGCTTCAGGAATAGCTTAGAACTCACATCTCAAACCACAAACGGGAGTAGGGAATGGCAGGAAGCTTTTAAGACACAAAGCCTGACTCTATGATAACCCCCAAGGCCACATCCTTCCCAAATAGTTGTACCAACTGGGGACCAAGTATTCAAATACATGAGCCAGTGGTAAACAATCTCTTTCAGACCTCTGGAGCAACTAACTACAGGGAAAACTACTCAGAGGGGAACTTAATGTGTACTGGAAGGCCGAGGCTTAGCTGTGAACCGCATTTACAGTTGTAAAAATGTGAACTTAGCAGTTGGGAGGGGTGTATGTTTTTAATGTCAAAAAGAAAAAAAAGTGAAAAGGATTGCTCAGCAATTGTCTCAGTTGGGTTATCCATTGATAGAATTAAAATCGTGACCTATAGAAACTTGGAGAGAAAAGGATTTATTTCAGTATCACACTCCGTTACTGAGGGAAGTCAAGGTAGGAACCTGGAGTTAACTGAAGCAGAGGCAATAGAGGAGTGGTGTTTCCTGGCTTGTTCCTCGTGGCTTTCTCAGACTGCTTTTTCACACCTGTATCTAGCTATCCCACAGCAGTCTCTAATTAAGAAAATACCCCCATAGGCTTACATAAGGCCAGTGGCATTTTCTCAATTATAGTTCCTTTCTGTAGCTTCTGTGTAGTTGACAAAAAAAAAAAAAAAAAGAAGAAGAAGAAGAAGAAGAAGAAGAAGAAGAAGAAGAGAAGAAGAGGAAAAAGCTAAAACCAGCCAAAAAAGTGATTAAGATCTTCCTGATCTTCCAGAGGATTCAGGTTTATTCAGTACCTAAGTTTGATGGGTTGCTTACAACCACCTGCAACTATAGACCTAGGGGAGTTTATGCCCTGTTTTAGCCTCTGAGGGCACTTCACTAGTGTGGTGCACTTATGTGCATATATACAAGCAGGCAAAACACCCATACACAGAAAAGTAAATGAATTAAAATTTAAAAAAATACTCTTGCTCCCTAAAAGCAATGCTTTTCAGTAGAATTAAGTAGAAGATGTCTAAAAATCTAGACACTTTTGAGAGCCAAAGAAGCTAATTTAAATACATTGGGACAATTATGACTATCTAGGCACTCTATCTGAAAATGAAAGAATCAAAATTAACAAAAGATGTTCGCAGTAGCAGGTTTATTACTGAAAGAAAGTGGAAACTGGGTCAGAACAAAGGGCTTCTGATTTTATAGTAAGTTTCTTACAACTACTCAACTGTATAAAGTTCATCCCCGTGTGTGCATGTGGGGAAAAAAAAACTAAATTGTAAAATAAAAGAATGAACCAGACATTGAGATCACAGTTGTTTTCCTGGGGGAAAAATAAGTGGCAATAGCTGAAGAAGGTCGGTGCATCAAGAGGGGTGAGGTTTTATCTTATTGTCTCCTCAAGCTCAGAAGTACGGTGCTAATATTGATCAATGGCAGCAGTTGGAAAGGAAAGCCTGTGGTGGGGACAGCAGATGGGATTCAGAAAGACAGTAGTGTAATGCAGTAATAATACACTGCACAGTTTATTTTCAAAACAGAACCCTTTTTATGTGAAGGATTCTATCCCAAAGATGGACTGCCAGACACTGAGATCGTCTCTAATTCTGTGCACTGCTCTCTGCTGAAGTAGGAGTTGCTTCTGTGTTTACCCCATTTAAATTGTTATAGTTTTTTTTTTTTTTTGTTTAATGCTGCCTGCCCATTCCCTGGTAAGCTTGCATTTAAAGCTGGTTTTAAAGTAGCATTTACACACCAGTACTTGTGCTCTCAGTACCCTGTCATCACGAAATAGTAACATGATACATGCTCACCTGCTAAATCTGTGATTTAGAGTTCAAGGAGCTTATGGAAAGGAACATTTAATTCCTAGCTTAACTTGATCTTTTTGCATTTTGGTGAACTGTGCATTTAAGTAATTGCAACTGATCCTTTTAAAGACACATTGCCTATCATTCTGGGCTATTAATGTCAATACTTTATAAAAATAAATAAACGTTATTTTATATGAGTAGACTGTGTACTTGGAATTTCTCTTGAGCTTGTGTAGGGAAATAATATGATGTCTAAAATGCAACCTTTCTGATGAGCAAGTGTGACTCTAGCTTGTCATTAAAAGCCTGGGTTATTGGGTGGGTTTTGTGTTTGTGTGTGTGTTTCTTTATTACCACAGTATTCTGTTGCTTTGACACTCTTCAAAAAGATGTGTTCTGGAGGTAATTTAGTCCTACTTATTTTTTTCCCCTCATTTTTCTCATAAATAAAATATATCTGTCAGTTGACTGGAAAAGTAGAATAAAGATGTGAGCTGCCCTGAGAGTGAGTATAGTCTTGAGTGCGTAGCTGTGAGTAAGCATAAGCTGAGCAAATCTTTTGAAAATTATTGTTGATGGTAACAGAGAATAGCGTAATAGTAGGTTGGTCTTCTAAGCCATTTTGCTTCATTCATTTTGTACATAGTCAGCAGTGTCATTCCTGATAGGTTTGTCATAAACCCCCACCCCGTTGTTTGTCCCGTATTCTCCTTTTTAACAGTTAAGCATGATAATGGCTTACTAAATGAATGACATATAAGGCAGAGATTTGGCCCCTTAGTTTTGAAACTACATTTTATATGTGTTTTCCGCTGTCCTTTTTATTTTAGTAATAGAACCAGCATCTGTTATTACCGTTGCCCTTTCTTGGGATCTAGAAGGTGGACGTAGGTAAACCTGAATATTGTGTAGCTGTGTTCCCTTTTGTGGTGCTAACTGGAGTTAGTAACTTGGAGTCACAGTTGATCACCTCTGGTTATTATCCTGTAGGAATTCAGTCCTCTCAGTCTCATTTTGTTACCTGACCACATAGACAGTGCAGTGTCATTTTCAAGGGCTGTCTCTCCTCTTTCGGAGCGACATCTGAAAACAATGATAGAATGTTTTGATGGAGGAAGGTCATTGAGCAATAAAGAACCCCGCCGCTGCTCTTATTTCAACAATGTTTTAGACTCTCCTGTTAACTAACATACCTTTAAATACCTCTGATTTAGATAGAATTACATGTTAATTTATATTATTTTATAAATTCTAAATAAAGGAAACAACAATATAAATTTCTTAAACCTCAAAACTTAGGATGTTAATAAATCAGATCATTTGTTAATCAATATTTAACTCACGTCTTGAGATAAAACTGCTTTATAAAGGAATTTTAGGGTGTGACTCAGTTTGAAAGCAGTGCATTTTAAGATTTAATTACTTAAAGGTATGAAACACTTTAAGATACTTATTTTCTCTGCTGGATTTGCCTTCTCCTCAACTTTTCTGCAGCCCCTTTAGGTGCTAGTGATTAAGACTCTAAACTGTAACATGCCTGTGAAGAAAATAAGCTCGAGATTTTCCCTGTGTGGTGTTGTAGCTCATGCCTGTGTGGTGTCAGACCATCACTGCTCTTTAGAGCCCTCTCAGCCGTCACATCTTTGTGTCCTGTGGTCTGTTGCTTCTCAGACTTGAGCAGTCACAGCAGTCAGTGAGGATCCTGCTGGAAATGTGGGTTCTCAAATGATGAGAATGCTTCCTGCCTCGGCACCATATTTTCAGTAACAAGTCTTGACACATGACAAGACTCGTTATCTCGGGCTTCCCTCTGTAATTCTCACAGATACTCTTGATTGGTTCTTGTCTGGGTGATTCCACTGGACAATAAAGGCTTCACAGTGCATTTTATTATAGTTGCTTAGCTATCTGTCTCCTTGCTCATTACAGATTTTTGCCTTTAGAGCTTAGCCTCTCATCCTTATTGGTACAAGGCCTACCATGCTGTTTAACAGAAAATAGAATCTCAACAAATATTTATTAGATAGTATTATTGCAGCCAGTTTATAGTTATACAAAGTATATATTGAATATTAAAAATGACATTTCTATTATTTTAGAGAAATACATTAAATATGAGTTTGGATCTTTTCCATATTCCTTTTAGAAGAAAAAAAGTCTCAAATATTCTCCATCCAAAGATAATTTGCTCAAAAATAATGCACTAGCTTCATTTTGAAGTCTGCACAGTAACTTACAGTAGTCTCAAGATTTCTTTTAGAAGTGCTTTAGAAAATTCATAACCATTTCTTTTTTCTCCCAAGGAGAAATACAAATGTCTACCGCAAGACGAAAACGCAATGTGTTATGTTGTTTACCGTAAGCTGTAGTAAGATGAGCTCAATTGTTGACAGGTATGTTTTTTAAATTCACTACTAGAGTAATGTTCTTAAGTGTTAGTGCTTAAACATAATTGCCATTATATTCAATTTCTACATAGAACAAATAAGAAATAGTAAGAAAGGTATGTTAGTAGTTTTAAAAGCCAAAGTGGATTGCTTAGGACTTATGTTACAAATGAGTCCTTATTCTTAATTTTGGGAATTTTGGTCAACTGAAAGAAACAATAATGCTTATAGATGATTCCCTAGCCCCTTTTAGACTCTAGGATTGAGTCTATCCCTGCAAGCATCTTAGCACTTGTGACTGGTAAGACATAATTGTTACTAGGATTATTAGTTTATTAGTTCGTTTTTAATCTTTATATATAAGTCTTTGGGAAAAGATAAACTTGTTTATTTCTTTAACTGTAAAACTGCTGGTTAGTTTTTTTGGTTGTTTTTGTTTATTTGTTTGTTTGTGTTTTTTGTTTTTGGTACTGGAAATGTCAGCCAAGGCCTAATGTGTACTAGTCAAGGAGCTTTACCACTGAGCTACCTCTCCAGCCTTGTTTCTAAGACTCTTTGTTATGTTGTTTTCATTCTAACACCGCTAACATTTGATGCGTCTTAAAATTCACTTCTCAGACTTCATTTGGTAGTTTCTTTTCTTTCTTCTTTCTTTCCTTTCCCCTACATCCCCTTCTTTCTCCTTCCCCCTTTTTCATTTCCCTTTCTTTCCCTCCCACCATCCCTCCCTCACTTCTTCCCTTCTTTCCACATAAAGATGAATCTTAAAAATGTCTAGAATCTTTTATATTATTTCATTGAATTGCTTAGATCCTCAAGGTTCTTAAGATATAGGTCAGGGATTAGCCAGCTTTTTAAATTATGGTTACAAATTCACTATATGACGATTCCAGTTGTTTAAGGATTTTGCAAATAGATTTGTACGTAGAGTAGTTGTTGATATCTGAAGGCAGCTTTTCTTCTTTTCTGACTAAACAAAGATATATCTTGTATTAGAGCATAAGAATTAAAGGCAAGGAATGTCCTTAAGACGTTTGCTTTCACTGTGGCCCTAGTTTTGGATTAAGGCCTTGTCTCCTTCTTGAAAAGACACACCAGTCATCTAAAAGGACTGGAAATGACTAGGTGGTCAATTCCTTTTCTATACTTGATGATGTTTGGGATGACACCTCTGTGTTCAGAGATAACGCAGTGATTATTAATATGGATTCCTTATATCTGAATATTATAATATTTATAGACTCCCTTGTCAGAAAAACAATATCCATGTAGGGTTTTTTAAATAAGTTCCCAGGCATAAATGGACTACTTCAGGTCTATTCATGAACCACCATAAAACACAATTTACAACTAATCTCAAAATGAAGCTAGTAGACGCCTCAAAGGCGTCTTCAGAAGTCACAGTGGGATTTGACTGAATGGTGTGACTGGTGAGTTCATGTAGAAGCTCACAGTCATCAGAAACTTGGATATCACTCCTTAGTTTTAAGAGGCAGCTTCTAGTGCTCTTGATGTAATTTGTTAGACTTTCCTCCAGGTCTCAGCTGTCCTCATCTTGTCACTTAATTCTTCACTTAATGTTCCCAGTTATACAAGTCCTTCCTAACCACTCAGACTAAAGCAACCACCCAGGGTTGCTTAGTTGATTTTCTATTGCCACAACAAAACACTGTGACAAAAGCAGCTTATAAACATTTAATTTGGGACTGCAGAGGGTGGTCTAGACCATGATTGTCGTAGTAGGAAACATGACAGTGGGTGAGCACGCATATGACTGGAGCAGTAGCTGAGGCTTGCCAGTTGAAATAATGTCCATGGGAGGGGGAGCAAAAGGAAGAGAGAAAGAATGAAAGTGAGCTAAGGAGGAATAGCATGGGCTTTTGAAACTCCAGAGCCCACCCTGCCAGGGATATACATCCTCCAAAAAGGCCACACCTCCTAATCTTTACCAAATGAGGACCAAGCATTCAAGTACATAAGCTTTTGGGGATCAGTCTCATTCAAAACCACCCTCCTTTAGAAATAAGGCCTGTTGTTTCCATGTGTTTCTTTGTAACAGAAGATGAAAAAGAGGAGAGTAGCTGTTAGTCCTGTTTGCTGTTCTGTTACAGTTTACTATTTACTGTTCTGTGTACTGTTTACTATTCTAGTACACAACCTGGTACCTGCGTGCTAATCAGTATCTGTTCAGTGGGTCAAATATGCTAAGTTCATGAGCTAATAGTTATTAGGATGTTTATGAGTAGTGGTGTTTTTAAAAGTGACTATCTGAAGAGGTTTTTAAGTTATGGTATTATAGTTAATATATTCCAGATGGGTAGTTTAATACAAAGACATTTCATACTGGCATTTGATAGGTTTCCAGTAGATATTAAAATTTTGAAATATGATATTTAAACTAGCTAAGTTCTTATTTAGCCTGATATATACACATAGCTGAGCATAACTTTTTAAAATTCACATGCAGAAAACTAAAAGTATAATTAAATGTAATTAAACTTTTATTAAAAAATAATTTTGTGGTTCCTGAGCTTGTATTTATTTGATCTCTTCACCTAGGAATCAGGTCAGTCTGAGTGGATTTACCTCTCCCTCTTACTAAGTCTTTTCATTTTGTTTTCTCTTGTAGAGATGACAGTAGTATTTTTGATGGATTGGTGGAAGAAGATGACAAGGACAAAGCAAAAAGGTAGTTAGCTGTGAAATAGAAAGTAGTAAATAATATATAATACTTACATGTGTTAGATATATTAACAAAGTAAAAAAGCTTAAACTATCAGTATGCAGTTTAGAAATTGAACTATATCCTGACTTTTTGAAAAGTAAGTTTGAATATATTATGTCATGTCCAAATTGGACACTGCATTAAACTATTTGTGTAATTAAATAGATTATTTTAAAAACTACATATTTAATTTCTTTTTTCATAGAGTATCTAGAAACAAATCTGAAAAGAAACGTAGAGATCAATTCAATGTTCTCATTAAAGAGCTTGGATCTATGCTTCCTGGTAATGCTAGAAAGATGGACAAGTCCACTGTTTTGCAGAAGAGCATTGACTTTTTACGCAAACATAAAGGTAAAATACTGTAAATTGGGTATGGTTTCTATAATAAACTCTCTTAGAAAATATGAGTTATATGATGCTTAAGGTAAAGAAGAAAAGATTCCTAGTATGTTCTTTCATTCAACAAGCATTTAGTTGTTTTTTTATTCTAGGTCCTTATGAAGTTAGGATGACTTTCTTGGCTCTCAACTTAAGCAAGAGGAGACAAATGTGTAAACACTAACTAAAATGCAGATGAGTAATTATTATGAACTATAAGCTTGAGAAGCACATGATTGTCATGTTTTTTTAAATAAAGAATGTTTTAAGGTATACAAATAAGTATTTTTTTTTAGCTAAATCTTTTAGGTTAGGCAAGTGAAAGTGCTTTACACAAAGGAAGTACTGTGTACAAAAGTGGAAGAGCAGAGAGGTTTGATTGTAACTGAGTGTGTTTGTGTTGGAAGGCTGGAGATGTATCAGAGTCAGGTCACATCAGGTCATTGCAGGCCATTTTTAAAGGTCATTTCAGTGTATGTCTAGAAAGCAAACATTACACCTAAAAGTATTTGTTACTAGAAGAAAATCATCTTTACCAAATCAGTCATGGAAAAAGAAACTTTAAAGTATTTGATATTTAGGTAGTGGAGATATGAAACTGAAGCTAGAGACAGATATTTGCTTTTTTAGATGAAGGAAAACTGCAGAACTTCTCAGGAAGAGAGATGCTAACTGCTGCCTTTTTCATTTTCTTTACCACCTCTGTAATTCATGGCTAGGCTCGTTTGTGCGCCACTACTCTCTGGAATATTTTCATTTACTGACATTGCCCACCCATCCCCAGTACAGCAAAAGTTTTTTCTTCTTTACTCTCCATAAAATTAGAACTGGTGATCTTGATCTGCCCGCTACTGACTTCATGGCTTCCATACTCTGCTGCTGCTTCCCCTTCCTGTCTGGCCCTCTCTCCTCTTCCCTTCTCTGCTCTCTAAATGGGATGTTTCTCAAGGCTTATCCTTGTGATCTTATTTTCTCAACCCTCTTTCCTGGGATGACTCATTGTATAACTGTAGCTGCTGTGCATCTGTAAGCACTAACGAATCTTTGTTTTCAGATGCAGAATTTTCATCCTTGTATTTCTAGTTAACTTATAGATACCACTTTCCATGTGTCTAAACTCAGTTCCTCTAAAATGGAATTCGTTTTCATTTTGTCAAGTCACTTTCTCCTAAACTGGCTTTTTCCATTTTTATACCATTTGATTAGGTTCCCAGGGCTCAAACATGAAAATACTTTGGGAATGTTTTCATTTGTCTTAGCATCATATCACATGTGCCATATTCTCTACTGATCTTTGTAAATGTGTCAGTCACTTAGATTGAACCTTGTAAATGGTGTCCTTGCTGACTTCATCTCCCTTTGTATAATGGCACACTCAGAAACCAGTGCCTTAAACATTGTAGAGCTCAGTAAATGATTGTTGAATGAAATAAACTGAAATGCATACATTTCCACCCTCTAAAAATAGAACATTAATTTTGGCATTATCTAGGTTTTGCCCCCAAAATTGAATGAATAATTCTCACAAAAATGAAATTTTGGTAAATTGCAGGGACATTTTCAAAGTATTTATCTAACATAGACCTGTATTAACTAACCCTTAATAAATTAGTGTATATCGTTATGTATATAATTGACCACAATTTAAAGTGCTTGACTGTATTTCACAGAATTAGTAGCTGTACTTTTAGTTCCCTGTCATAGTTCAGTATAGTCATTTGTAATCACCAAATTTGTTATATAAGTATGATATATTTAAATACCCGGTAACAAAACATTAAAACAATATAATCCATACTTTTCACTGTAAAGTAAGGTAGAGTACAGCCTACCACATTGATCTTTAATTTGTGTGATTATTGTAGTATATCTATATCTAAAATGGAAAAAAAAAATGTTGAGGCATGGAGGTGTTTGCCTATATAATCCTAGCATTTGGAAGCCAAGCAGGAGGGTTGTAAGTTTGAAGCCAGCCTGAAATACATAGTAAGACTGTGTTTTAAAAAGAAAAGAAAACATACTTGTTAAACAGCAAATAGTTCAGACTTCACTATTTATGATAACATTTTTATGACTGAATCTGTTTGCAAAATGAAGGAATCCTGTGGTAAATATGTGTGCTGTGCCAGAGGCCCCAGTGACTTGGACAAACTCCACATAGTTAGGAGCATTAAAATGACACTGAGCAAGTCACTCTGCAAGTGTTGTTACTTTCTGTGAAATTCTGGCCTCAAATCCTCATTTAGTCTCCTAAGATTAGAAAAAATCTTTTTGCCTGGCAAAAATAAGTCCTTTTTGTTGAAAACAGACTGGCTGACCCCATTGGCAACTTTGCTTTGAGCTGACTCCTTATCTCTACTTGAGATATTACCATTTGAATGGCAAGGAAGCCAAGGTAAAAAATTTCCCCAAAATGTTTGGAATAATCTTGTAATCTGCTTGTTTCTATTTGCTAATTATGTCAAGTCGGAAACAGATTTAGGCCTGTCACCCACAGAGCATATCAAAACTGTACCCTCGCCCACCCAATAAAATCTCCAAAGAACTTGATACTAAATGGTCCATCTAGACCAAGTTCTAGAAGATAACATTTCACGTTTTCAAACCCTAGCCTCCTGTGCTTATCGTTAAGTAGGAAGAGAAGGCGACTTGTAGGTTTTTGTGCTCTCCCAGTGGTTAGAGTTTGCTGCTAATGTGTCGATCTGTTTACAGAAATCACTGCACAGTCAGATGCTAGTGAAATTCGACAGGACTGGAAACCTACATTCCTTAGTAATGAAGAGTTTACACAATTAATGTTAGAGGTATGTCCAGATTTAATTTTTGAAAGTTTTATTTCTCTAAATTTTTAACAGTGATTAATTTTAGTATAGTTTTAGCAGTATGAATATTGAAAAGTTTTAATTCAGTATAAATGTAATAAGCTCTGTTTGTGTATAATTACAGTTGATCAGTGTATTGACCAAGTATTTTAAGTAGATAATGCCATGTGGTAGAATAATACCAAATTTTCTTATTTTCATTATTTGAAATTTTGAGGTGCTTTCATACAGTTCAGAAATCTGTAGCTACTGAGTCTTCAGCCTGAGATGCCCATTCCATCCTAACAAAGCGTAGCGTGTGTTATCACATCAAACACTGTTGCCAGTTGTGTATATTTTACTCCAGCTGTGCTGTCACAGCTTGGACTGTGTAGTCCTGAAGGCAGGCAGTCCAGTGAGAAGACCCAGTGGGCTTGGTGTGTGTGAGAGCACTTGAGTCTAGTTTGTGGGTGGTCTTCTTGCTGTGCCATGGCATGAAGATATGCTGTATAGGAACTCTGAAGGACTCTCTTATGGGGACACTAATTTTATTTTGGAGGCTTCATCTTTATCACCAAATCACCTCCTAGCTGCCTCCTCCCAATGAAACATAATGGGAAATTAGGTTTCAACATAAATTTTGTAGGACACAGCATTTAGTCCTAGACATCTGTGTAAAATGACCACAAATTGTAATAAAAATGATGTATTTTTCAAATGAAAATATGTTAAAAGGTAATCATTCTATAAATAGAAATGTTTAAAAGGAAGTGAGCAGATGTTCTTCTATTACAGAATTGCTTTTAAAAATAATTTAAAACAGCTTTTGCTTGTATGTAGACCATAACATCTCCTGTCAGATATGTAATGCACATAAATTTTATAATATTCATACCTAAAAGCTTTACTTTTCTACTCTTTTATCTTTTCCTACATAGAGTAATAAAATTATCATTTATACAATAAGCTGGTCAGAATTTACTACCAAGTTTCATGAAAACTTAAAATAGCAAATAGGTGGTTTGCTTTGTAGTTAACAGTGATAAGAAAACTCAAGAGGGTATGGCAGAATAATTGGAGTGGGTCAGGGGTATTGTGGCTAGCCTGGGCAGCATGTACAGAAATCATAGATGTACAAAATGAAATTATTAGGTAATTTCATGTATCATGTGTACGTTTATAATGCTTATGTTACAAATGGTTTTTTGTACTACTAGAGTCTGAAGTAAGGCAGAACATTTTTAGTAAGGGGCTTTTTGTTTCTTTGATTATACTTCAGGGTGTAACAATTAGTGAACTCTATTTGTGTGCTTACCAGAAATTATTAAAATTTGTTAAAGTATAACATAAGCATTTAAACTTATACTTTAAAACTGAAGAGTACTTTCCTCCTGATAACTCCACCAGTTCCCAGACCCGCTTTAAGAAGGTGTTTGAAGCGGGAATAGGGCCTCTCCAACTCTTTTACTGGCTCCTAAGACACTACTTCTCATTCTGAGTCTCCTTGCCCAGCCTTAATACATAGGAAGGTGCTCAGTCTTCCTGCAACTTGCTGTGCCATGTTTTATTGATACTCAGAGGAGACCTGCCCGTTCCTGGATGGAGATGGAAGAGGAGAAGATTGGGGGGAGGGGGGAAGAGAGTGGGGGAGGCTATGGCTGGAAAAGTGAATATTTAAAAAAAAGTGTTTGAGATAAGGAAATTCAGAAGCAAAGTTGTCAGGAAATGTGCTCATGTCACATAGGTAGACAAATGCTTCTGGGATGTGTAAGGATGCTGTGCCTTCAGCCACCATTATGTGCAGTAGTTTTAAAACTCATTAATTAGTGTACAGTTGAGGTACAGCTCAAGGAACAGTCTTACTTTTACTTGTTTTTTTCCTCTTAAAAGAAGTTTGACATTGTACAAAAGTGTCTGTCTGTGTCTATCTATCTATGTTTGTGGAAGGATACACACAAGCTAGTCTGTAACAAGAAAGAAAATGACTCTTTTTATAATCCTAGTGCAACTTGTCATTCAATAAGATTTTCTTTGTTTGTTATGAACTGCTTACTTTTATTGGCATAAAAATTTCCTATAATGGGGCTGGAGAGATGGCTCAGTGGTTAAGAGCATTGCCTTCCAAAGGTCATGAGTTCAATTCCCAGCAACCACATGGTGGCTCACAACCATCTGTAATGAGGCCTGGTGCCCTCTTCTGGCCTACAGAAAGAATATTGTATACATAATAAACAAATAAAAAAAATTCCTATAATTCAAAAATTATTTATTTTGTTAATAATCTTAAATGCACCTGCTTTACTAACAGGCTAAATACATTCAGGGTTTTTTTCTTTATAATAGGAAGCTTTTATATTAGTTACTAAGGTGCATGTACTACATACCAGATACCTATCAAAGGAAATAATAAGCCAGAAATTCTAGTGATGATATGACATTATATAAACAGAGAAAATATATCAAGAACTTGAAAATGTAAGTTAATTCTTTATATCCTCAGAGTTTAGATTCACATAACTGAACAACGTTGTATTTACTTTGAATATGTAAAAAAAATACTTGCAATTTTTTATTATATCTATCCCTATCCATCTGTCTGTCTATCTGTCTGTCTGTGGCTCCATTCTTGCCCCAGCACACATGTGGAGGACAGAGGACAACTTGTGGGGGTTGGTTCTCTCTTTTCACCAGGTGGATTATGGAGATCAAACTTAAGTTGCCAGACCTAGTAGCAAGCACTTTTACCCACTTAACTATTTTAGTAGCCCAAATATTTTCAAGTTTTTTTTAATGTATTAAGTGTATTTTTAAAAAGTAAAAGACTAAGGTGAAGGGTGTGTATATAGGTGTGTATCTTATATCCTTAATCCAGGTGTTTGCACACATGTGATTTTACATGCTTCCAGTCTGCAGTTTTCTGATTGAAAATGAAAATTTTAATCATAACTTAGAATTGGATTTGTTGATGAAATAGTCTGGTTTGGATAAAGTTTATCTGACTGGCAAGACTATGATGTAGTTGTGTTACATCTAAGTAATCATGTTGATTACATTAGAGCTGAGTAGGCCCTTTCTGTTTTCAGCTGAATTTCATATTTATGCTTTATCTTAAAATGTTAGCATTGTGGTTCAGAAGCTTATTTAGTCTATCTACTTAATATGTTGGCGCTGCTGGTACAAGAGTTTAGACTATCCATTTAACATGTTAGCATTACTGGTTCAGGAGTTTAGACCATCTACTTAACATGTTGGCATTGCTGGTATAGGACTTTAGACCATCTACTTACCATGTTGGCATTACTGGTACAGAAGGTTAGACCATCTACTTAACATATTAGTGTTGCGGGTATAGAAGTTTTAGATAATTTAGCTGAGCTTGTTCATTATTGACCATGCCCAGAGAAGTTGAAGCTTGCTTACCTTCCAAAAGCTAATTCATGTCATAACTAGAACCTAGGTCTTAATACTTACTTATGTTGCCTCTCTTAATTCTTTGAATACAACTGTGCCTCCCCAAGCCCCCCCCCCCATCTATTGCCTGAGGAGTAATTTACTGCAAGACCTGGGAGTAGGCATCTTAGGACAAAGTCATCTTGTTAAAGTCATCTCTGATTGTATACTGCTTTCCCCTTGGCAGCTCATAGTCTTCCTTGTAGTTTACAAAACAAGGGCTCACAGTATGTGTCAGCCTTGTCTTTGCTGAAGATCTAGAGGGAACTTCTGTACCCTTCCCTAGGACTGACATTCTTATCTTCCACAAACTAAATAATCACTGTTAGCAAGAAGATATCTAGATGAAAATAATGTTCTAAATAATGAATAGTTCTCCTTCGTTCATACAGTAAGAGGACAGGGATAAATCACAGCTGCCTGTCATGATGTGGGGATGCTCTTTGCCTTATTCTTCCACATTTCTCCAATTACCCTTCTCAAGGAAATTTTATCCTCTACTCAGAAGATTTTCATGACTTGGCACTGTTGAAACTTTTCTTTGCAAGTGGAAAGAGCAGGTTTCAGCTCTCAGAGTGGGAATAAATGATTGAGCATTTTCATTTCAGTTCATTGTCTTCAGAGAGAAGCCCTGAAGTTCCTAGCAGTCAGTGTCTTCCCAGCGTGAACAGATCATCACAGTGAAAGATAACTTCCTTTCAACACTGACAGTCTTTTCACATGAGAAAGCATAGGTTTGTTTTCTTTACACCAATTTGACTCTATTCACAGTGCAACCAAATAATTACTGATAAATCGTAATGGGGTAACACTTCAAGACTTGCTTTTTAATTTCAAGATTTCAAAACCCCTCATTATCTAAAAATATATTTGTTTGAGTTATTCTGGAAAGTAAGAAATGATTCAAAGTGCCTTTTTTCTGGACCATATCTCTGCCCTAGTAGGAGATATGTATCTTTTTTTGTATCTTCAACAGTTAGCGACTGGGAATATAGCTTCATGGTAGGGCATGTGCCCAGCATTCATGAGGCCCTGCACCCATTTGCTAGCACTGCAAACAGCAATAATAATTAGGCATGGTGGCTTACTTGAGTTCAAGGCCAGTATGAGCATTGGAAGCTGTCTCAAGACACCCTGTTCCCAACCAAAATAAAAATTAAAGCCCAACTCGTACTGATTTCCTTTGCTCCTAATCCCATCCATTATGGGCTGTCCTACTTTTCACTGTACCAAGTGTGTTTATCTGTGCCCAGACATAAGGATGACTGAAACACACACAGTTTTTACCAGAGTTGCTGACCCTTTGAGGGAACTATTTAACTAAATAACTTGCAACTTCTCCACTAGTGATCTTTCTCTTCTTTAACGTACAAATGTACTGGTTACCCTTTGCTTTATTCTTTTGGTACATGAACCCTTTAAAATAATTGTTCTTCCTCCCTTATTTTCTTGCCAGTTTTATGAGTGAGTTATAATAGCTCTTGTCAGCTTGTTCTAAGTTTGTTGTAAGTGACTTGCCTTCCTGTTGATGTTGCTCTTTGAAAATAACTAAACTTGTTCCTTTTCTTGTTCCTTGGCCTATCTGCTATCACTGCACCATCCCTCTTTCTTTCCAAGCTCTGTACTGTATTCTGTCTTTACTGTTTGTCTGGCTCTTTGCTCTCCATATTCATATTTCAGTGATTCTTCCAAGCTTTGTCTTTGGCCCATTTCTTTATTGAAGGTCTCACCACTTCATTTAGCACTACTGTTCCTGTGGTTGTCAAATGAAAGCACACGGAGTCTCGTATTTTCTCTGACATCTCTCCTGAAGATGTTTGTATTTCTTAGCCCTTGGTTAGTCTTTCTCTTTTCATATTGCTACTGATTTCATTCAGTGTCGTTAATTTCTTGATTATCCCAAGGCATGTTTTCTTGACTCAGACTACTAGAATTGAAACACAGCTACCGCCTTCCCCCATACAAAACCTTCTGTTGGCTTCCTTTATGTATAGAGTAAAGATACCTTTACCAAGAATTTGGGCTTTAGATGATTGTGCCTCAGGTTAGTTTGGGGAGGCTTAATTTCTTTTCCCTTCATTCTGTTCCTTCTGTTATAGTCCTTCACTTAAGTGCACACCTGTCTGTGTGTACTTTATGAGATGTGACCATCTCCAGATAAGCTGTACTGTACTAAACAGTGTATCATACAATGTATGTCTGCAGCTGGAAAGGCAGAACATGGGTTATCTCATCTTTAGAAACCAACTTCCAATAGATAGCCAAAATGATATTTTCCCTCAGAAAGATCTAAAGATGCCCAAAAATCAATATCCTAAGGTACTGAAAGCAAATTAGCTGTCATTTTGACTGTACGCTAAACATTTCTACAATAACTCCTTCGTCATTTTTCTTGTTTCTATTCAGTAAAATGCTTTTTTTTTCTTTTCCCTTAACTGACCATTATGTTTAATTTCAGGCTCTTGATGGTTTTTTTTTAGCGATCATGACAGATGGAAGTATAATATATGTATCTGAGAGTGTAACTTCATTACTTGAACATTTACCAGTAAGTATAAAAACCCTATAATCTCTTTATTATTTAATGTCTACATAAAATATTAGAATGCACTAGGAAGTAGACCTTGAGAGTGATATTTGAACAGTGGTTGAGGGGTTGGGATTAAAGCCCGAGCTAATGTCTTTGTTATTAGCATTGCCGTGTTTTCTCAGACCAGTCCTAAGGCCCTCATCCACAGTACTTTAGCCTTTGTTGTTCTTCCCTTTGCATTCTAAGGCTGATTTTGCAATGTTTTTCTTTTAGCTGATGAAAATATTGTATCAATCAAAAACAAACAAAAACCTCCAACCAAATTTCTACTGCACTTATTGCTGTGAGGAGAACTCATAAATAATTTTCTCAAAAAAGTGACTTATAAAAACTGAAGTAGAGCCGGGCAGTGGTGGCGCTTGGCTTTAGTCCCAGCACTTGGGAGGCAGAGGCAGGTGGATCTCCTTGAGTTCAAGGCCAGCCTGGTCTACAAGAGCTAGTTCCAGGACAGCTAGGACTGTTACACAGAGAAACTCTTGTCTCAAAAAAACAAACAAACAAAATACAAGTAGGTACAAAACTTGCATGCAATGTGAGTTGGACTGGTAATGTAATAATGGACATATTCCATTTTAAAATATGTCCTCAAAAAGGTGCACTGTGCTAGATATGCAGCTCCATAAAACCTTGTATGTTTGCTTTTACTCATCCTGTATTTACTGAACATTCAATCTTTATTGAACACTAGGTTAAGTGCTTCCTACAGTTAAAGGTTTTAGAAGTTTATTTGAAATTTTTATATAATATATATTTAAGATTGGTTTGTGGTATAAAAATTCTAATATTTTCAGATTACCCTTGAAATGCCCATTGTTGGACAATTTACATCAGTGCAATATAAACCATTCTTTAAATATTTCTTTTTAAAAATATTTTTTAAGGGGCTGGAGAGATGGCTCAGAGGTTAAGGGCACTGACTGCTCTTCCAGAGGTTCTGAGTTCAATTCCCAGCAACCACATGGTGGCTCACAGCCATCTGTAAGGAGATCTGGTACCCTCTTCTGGCCTGCAAGCATACAGACAGACAGAACAGTGTATACATAAGAAAGAAAGAAAGAAAGAAAGAAAGAAAGAAAGAAAGAAAGAAAGAAAGAAAGAAGGAAGGAAGGAAGGAAGGAAGGAAGGAAGGAAGGAAGGAAGGAAGGAAGGAAGGAAAATACTTTTTAAAAAAACAAAACAAAACTATTTCCTTCCCTCTGGTTTCTCTGCTACTTAATACCTTGTAAAGAGAAAGGACTCGATCCATAAAAATGTCAGATTGTACAAGGGCAACTTTCTACTGAAAGGCAGTAAGCATTGTACTCATTTTTTAAGTTCTTATTGCAGCATATCTGTGTCTGTGTGTGTGTATGTCATTTGCATACCCCGCGAGGCAGAAGGTGTGGAGTGAAGGTAGTTGTGAGCTGCCTGGTGTGGGTGATGGGAACTGAACTCAGGTCGGGACTATGGGTGAGCAGTAAGTGCTCTCAACTGCTGAGCCCTCTGTCCCTATTGCTAGTTTCTATATTTGGCTTGACTTCACTGGTCTTCTTCTGCAAATAAAGCCCAAATCTAAAACGTGATTGGACAGTAAACATATAAGTCAATTGGCACGGACAGAAAGAAGATCAGATCAAGTGGATATTCTTAATGACCCCTTTAAAAAAATTATTTGCTCTTAAATGTTGAGCCAAAATGTTTAGAATTTGCTAGCTTAACAAAACATTACTCTCCACCGGCAGATGGGCTAAGGATGTTGTCAGATAATACCTGAAGTCCATAATTGAGATTTCTCTGGCTAGCCCATGTCTGATGTTTCATCCAGGTTTTTAAAATTAAAATACATCTACTGATGTATTTTTTTAATGTCTTGGTTTACAAATTTCTTTGTTCTGTTACCATAAAGCTCCATGAAATGATCCATGTTGGAACAACAGAATTTGGAATAAAATAAATCTACATTCCAGGGCCATGGTCACTTAAATTTGGCTTCAGAATAAGTTACCATTTTTCTCCTTTTATGGGGGTGGGGATTTATTTGTTCAGTAAGAAAGCTTGGCAGGCTGGGGAAAGAGTGCTGGGAGCCTGCGATGTGGTTCAGTGGTAGATCCACTTGCCTAGTGTGCACATAGCCCTGTGTTTCCCTCCCTGGCTCTTCAAAAACAGCAGCTAGTAGAACAGAAGACCACAAAGCACAAGGAATGAATGAATCCTTTGTAGGATTAAGATAGGATTAATTGAAAATGAGAATAGTTATGTGCTTTTAACCATATATAATTGATTTATTTTTTTTCAGTTTTGCGTTTACAGGAAAAATGTTTTTTCTTAGTTATAATCAAAGCATTATTTGCATTTGTTCACACTTTTTCATATCTGCTTTTTGGCACTATCTTTGGGTTTCATGCAGAATTAAAGGCCTTCTCTTTTTGTTAACTGTGCATCCTACCACTTAAAATTAGCTATTATGCTGTTATTTATAAAATAAATAAAAATGGTTTATTTATTTTACAATTAGGGTAGTTGTATGATGCTAAAGCCAGCAATTTTTATCTCTTTATTCCTAAGAATACTGGCTGGTTTTTCAGAGCCACTCAGCAATTACTTATTGAGTAAATAAAAATGAATTAATGATTCCGTCTAAAATGTTTCCTAGATCCCCGAGAAATGGCCAGTTAGTTAAGAGCGCTTGCTGTACTTGCAGAGGCCCGGGGTTTAGTTCCAAAAACTCTTATCAGACAGTTCACAGTTCTAGTAGATCTGGCAGAGCACACACGTGGTGCTCATACGTATACTTAAACATCACACATACCCATTAAATAAATAACAAATAAAACTTTAAAAAATACTTTCCTAATGGAGAAGAGGACATCAGATTCCATGAAATAGGATTATAGACAGTTGTGAGCTATCATGTGGGTCCTGGGAATTGAACCTCGGTTCTCTGAAAGAATAACCAGGGCTCTTAACCCCCGAGGTGTTTGATCCACTGCTGGTGGGTCTTTGGTGTGGGATAGTTTAATTACACTTTAAGTGGACAGCCTGACAGATCTGGTTGATACAAAGTATTTGATCTTTATAATAACCCCTCAATACAGACCTCACTTTGCCACTCTCTCCTGTATTTTTTCTTAAAAGTTAGATATTTTAGAACTATTTTTAGATTTACAGAGAAAGACAGCAGGAATTTCTTTCTCTTGAAAATAGTTGAGGGGATGAAAGAATCCAGAGAACTAGCATTTTCTTTTCTTCATATGAGTTGTACTTGGTAACCAAGTGGATATAACATATGTATCCACTGAGTGGATACAGTGTGGGTCGCTTTTTTTAAAATATCAAAATGTGGCAACTGTAAGTGTTGTGTTTGAAACCTGAATAGTGGTTAATGGAGAGTTTGGCACTGTGTAGGAAGAGGGAGGAGAAGCAGTAGGGAAGCATGCTGTGTCCTTGGCTTTTCCTTTGTAGGCTTGTAGATAGAAAATAAGGGATGCAATGAAATGGTGTCAGGAGAGTTGCTGGTTAAGAATAAACAGAAAATGTTATTCTTAAAATTAACATTTTAGTTCTTATTTCAAATTTATTTTTTATCAAGACTACTTTGTGCATTCTGATCAGTGCTTAAATTTCTACTTTGTCAGTGAAAGATTGTTTCCTAGCGTTTGTTATTCATGCCTGAAGTTTCCATCATTCTTTTAGCATTAATGGCTTTTTAGTCCTCCAAAAGAATTCCTCATTAAAATACAAGTGTGTTTTTGGTGTGGTTATCCCTTAAGCTATTATCAAATGGCTCAGTGATGCCAAATTATTGTTTTGTACTAATAACTAGTATGTAAGGCACATATACCTTTATTGGCAAAGGAAAAGATAAAGGTGTAAAAGATAAGACCTTTTTGTTCATCATGGGGCAACAAGACATAGACATTAAGAGAACTACCTACCCCCTTTGGGGTATAATATGAGCCATAAGTTCTAATGGAATTTGTTTGCTGTTGAGGTTTCGGGTATGCTCTTTTGAAGGAAGTGACTTTTAAAATTTTAAAATTTTTATTTAAAATACAGATACATCATTTCTGCCTTCCTTTTCCTCCCTTTAACCCCTTCCATGTCCCCACTTACTCCATTTCAACTTGATGACTTATTTTTCTTTATTATTGTTACACACATGCGCATATACATACATATAAACATATGGATGAATCTTGGTGTTGCTTATGTATATATGATTTTGGGTTGACTGTTGGGTATTGAATACCAATTATTAGGGTCATTCCTGTGAAAGACTAAGTTTCACTCTCTCAGTAGTCATGAGTCACTTAGAGTTCTTTATGTAGAGACTCCATGAGATTCTCCCATCCATATTAGCATATCTGCTGGTGTTGTCATTGTACGTATCTTGTTTAGGCAGCCATAGTTGTTGAGGTGTCATAAATACAGCTTTCTTGTCATTTCTAAGAGACATGGTCTCACAGCAGACTTCCTAGTCTCCTGGCTCTTAATGTTTCCTGTTCCTTCTTCTGAGGTGTTCTCTGATAGGTGCAGGGGTTGTGTTGTAGATGTGTCCGTTGAGATTGGGCACACCACAATGAGTTGATCTCAGCATTTGACCAGTTGTTTTCTTCAATGGTCTCTGTCTTCTGCTGCAAAGAGACACTTTTTTGATGAAGGCTGAGAGCTATACTTATCTGTGTGTATAAGGATAAGTTTAAGAATGCAGTTAATAATTACGGTAAGTCTAGTAGTAGCTTCTCCTGTAAGATCTGTGACCTCACTAGCTAGGAGTACTTGGCTAGGTTTCTAGTACCAAGGAAGTAATTTGAATTAGTGTTTGAAAAATGCAAGATAGAGATGTGGAGTTTACCTAAGCTGTAGAGAAGACTTTGATCCCTAGAGAAAAGCCAGACGAAATCGTGTGAGTATGTGGAGAGTAGTAAACCATCCCTCCCTTCCTCCCATGATTTGGTTTCTCTTACTGTTTTCTTTTAAGCAGTGGAGCTGTTCAGGTACAGTCTTTAAGGTATATAAAATAAAAACCAATGGGAGTGCAGCTGCCTTCCCCCCACAGCTCCCTCTACCTCCCTTGCCTCCCACAGGGCCTGAGCTCTCACTGCTCGATTCTAGAGTTAGAGCAGGGTGGACAGTGAGGCTCCAATAGGATGGGCTGGATTCAGTAGAAGGTAAAGTCGCTGAGGTGTCACTGTCGTTGGTTCTTCATCTTTGAGTCTACAGCATCACCTGTCACAGGTTTCCTAACATTTGTGAGACTCCTGCTGATTACTGGATAATGATTAAAGTCATGTATTAGCATGCAAGAAGAATTAAAATGCTTTACATGCTAGCTGTTCATCTTAGGCAAGGCTTTTGGCAGTGTGATATAGAATAAATGCCTGGAAAAGATGAAATAAGATTAAAGGGCGTGTTGGACTATTGCAATGATAGTAGTGTCAGATCTCCTCATTCAGCTTGTCACTGTCATCACTGCTGTTTAACAGGTGTTTGAATAAATTACAAGACTGTGTCTTAGAGCCAATAATTTTCTTAACTTTCTCTGCCCCATTGTATTTTACAATGATCAAATTTGGTAAAACTCAAGTTTTCGAATAATGTTTCTGACTTTTTGAATCCCATCTGTTGTGGATCTGATGACTCTGCTATGTTACCCTTCTCTGGCTTCTCAGTCTCAGTTTTTAATATAGAGTTTGTAGATTGACATTACTGGTTTTCATGGATAATTGAATATTAATCATATGTATCCCTGTTATTTAATATCTATTATACATGTTAGAGATAAATGCCTCTCAAAGAACCACTATATAATTTTAAATTTTCTTATTTTTCAGTCTGATCTTGTGGATCAAAGTATATTTAATTTTATCCCAGAGGGAGAACATTCAGAGGTTTATAAGATACTCTCTACTCACCTGCTGGAAAGTGATTCATTAACCCCTGAATACTTAAAATGTAAGTAGGCCCTCCTAAGCAGAGACTCAAAGCTTATATTTGGCACCATTATCCTTTATTTCTGTAAGTTTATGAAAAACACCATTTGTTTAACTAAATTAGAATAGCACTATTTCTGAACTCTATTAAATGCTTTTAAAATATTGGTGAATATACACAACTAAAAGAGTTGTGTTCATTTTAAGATACCAGATCTATTATTCCATTGTATATTGAAGTCTCATCTTTTTTGTTATAAAAATTGATCACAATTATGCAACAAGCTGTAATATATAAAAATATGGAAATTAGTTACATGTTTTTAATTTTTAAATGAAATCTTAAAGTATTTATTAAATAATCTTTGCTGGATGTGTTTAATATAATTTCTTAAAGTGCCAAATATAGTGAAAAAATAGTCCCTGTCTTCAAGTAGCACAAAATATTTTGGTGTAGTGAGACATTTCTGTAGATTGCCTGGGGAAGCAGTTGACTGGAACTTTTGCTGTCTTCATTCTTGGTGTTCTGGTTACCTTCACACAGCGTTCCCATGTAGTAGACTCTGATATGGGGCACGTTTATCTGGGCTCATGCTTTAGAGGTGTCTAAGATTCTGGGGAGGACGTGATGGGGCACAGCTGTTCACAGCATGACAGCTGGGAAGCAGGAAGGAAGAAGGGCATAAGGACATGCCTGCCACAGCCTACTCCTCCAGACTTCCCTCCTCTGCAGTCTCTAGATTCTCTCACAGTAGCATTGCCAGCTGTGAGCCCTTTGTGCTGACAGTTCGTGTACAACCTGTAATAGTTACCCTGAGTAAAACCACATGACCCTGAGCTTGTTTGCAGTGTGTGTGTGTGTGTGTGTGTGTGTGTGTAAATTAGTACATTATTGTATTTGTGTGGCCATTAGCTATTTTAGACCTTCCTTAAAACCTTTTTATTAGTTTTAAAATGTATCTCATCTGGTAATAGTGACTTAAATCAACTTAAAAAGTTCTTTGTATTTGTATCTTTAGATTCTGTAATATTAAGAACTAACCCGTGTATACTTGCATACATGCTTATATCCATGTTAAGAATAGATTGTCTTTCAGAAGGAGTTATAAAAAATAGAAGTAGAAATTTACTTGGAGCCCATATGTAATTGTTTATAAAGAGATTTGTATTACACTAGTCATTAGACCATTTTAATATGGGTACTTAAAAGAAACATTTGAGCTGGACTTAATAGAGAAATCAACTATATGGCTTTAAACAGTATTTGAAGTCACAGAACAAAAGACATTACTGAGGCAAATGCATAGAAAAGGGGGAGAGATAGAAAGTTGGCTCTCTGAGTTGTCAGCAGAAGGACAGGGAGAAGGAGCCAGTTTCAGAGACTCTTGGAGGAGAGGACTGCTCAAAAGCACACATAGAAAGCCTCTGCCAAGATAGACCTCCTGCTCTGGAGATCAGAGAAGTCTTAATTAAGAGTTAAAACGCAAGCTATGCTGCTTAGAAAATGTAGTAGCCTCTTTTGCTATAATGTCTATGAGTTGGTACAGATAATATGATGTTTGTAAAGATGAAGCAGAATTATAAAACACCTGGATTTTCATCCTATGGAGTTTAATTTTTACTCTTTATACAATAAGGAACTAGTGAAGGCCTTTTGGGTGGTTTGTAGTTGCAGGGGGGGGGGATTAAGATAGAGACTTCTGCAAAGAACCATTCTAGGGTCAAAAAGGGGAAGTGTATAATTAGCAATAGAAGTATGGATGGAGAAAAAACATGATTGATAAGTTGGCAGATCCCAGTATAACTACATCTGGGAAAAATTTTGAAAAGATAATTGGAATTTGCACCTGTTGAGTTAGGTGATAAAGCCAGATGCAGAAGAGTCTTAAGTGTGATACAGTGAGCGAAGGAATGGGGTATTACATATTCATGATACGAGACTGTCTTACATAAAGGGTAGAGTTGATCAAAAAGATACAGGAGGGTAAGGAGCCTCCCAAGATCAATTGGAGACTATAGAAAGGTTATTAAAGGTCAAGCTCAACATTTCTTTGTGAAAGTGTCTGGTGTCAGACAGTTAGCAAATACAGTAGTATAGGGAGGGGAGTCCATGCTGTGGGGATGAGGAAGAACAAGTTGTCAGATTAGCTGGAAAGAATGAGAAAAACCACTTGAGGTTGACAATAAAAACGTCAGTATTGTTTGGGAGAGCCATCACTCTAGAGGCGTAAGGAAGTTGGAGAAATGGATACATGAAAAACCAGAGTACATTTTAATGAGTTCTCTGGTGCTATAAGTAGATTAGCATGAAAAATACTTTGTTGAAAAGATTGAAGACCTGATCAGATTTAAAATTGTAGGAAGTAAGGAGCCAAAGAAAAATTTGCAGTTGCTAAAGGGATGAATATCAAATGGCAAGGCTCTGGTCCTAAAGGAGGCAAGAAAGACTCTTGAAGGTAGAGATGGGAACAGTAAGCCTGTAATTTTAACACTTGGGAGCCTGAAGCAAGGGACAAATTCTAGGCCAGACTGGATTAGTGGGTGAAACCCTGCCAAAAAGCAACAGCAGCAGAAAAGAAGGTATTGGATTTAAATAAAGGGGGAGCATTAGCTTTAAATGGAGAACAAAATATTTTTGTGAAATTAGAAGTAGGGGTGGGATGGGAAAGCGGATGGCATGCGCACTGCAGTCCTCTCCTGCAGGCACTTTACTGTGATGCACTGCACTTTACTGTGATGCACTGCACTTTACTGTGATGCACTGAAGACAACGTGTAGCGCTGCTTCTGTTGAAAAAAAATGAGTGTGAACTTACCCAACTTTTTAATCATTTGTTTCAGCAAAAAATCAGTTAGAATTCTGTTGTCATATGCTTCGAGGAACAATAGATCCAAAGGAGCCATCCACCTATGAATATGTGAGATTTATAGGAAATTTTAAGTCTCTAAACAGTGGTAAGTTAAAATGCTTCTCTTACAATGATTTTAACTGACTTTATTTTTCTAAGCTCTTAGATGCTTAAGTGTCAGTAACAAGTATATTTTACTGGATTAACCCATGATACATGTCTCCTTGCTTTTTTAGTATCAACTTCAGCACACAATGGTTTTGAAGGAACTATACAACGCACACATAGGCCTTCTTATGAAGACAGAGTTTGTTTCGTAGCTACTGTCAGATTAGCTACACCTCAGTTCATCAAGGTATGCTTCTAATTTTAATTGCTCTAGTGCTAGTTCATGGTATGAGAATTGTTCTTAGGAGATTTTTTTTTTTTTTTGTCTTCAGAAGGTTGAAACTTAGGCCAGCATCGAAGTAGTAATGGCTGGTGAGTTATTAAATATGCGTGAACTTCTTTTAACACAGTGAAAGACATAAGTACTCATTCAATATGTAACCTTATTTAGTGTATTCTTTGCAAGCATCCCATGGCAGTATATTATTATTGCCCTGCTTTTGTGCAGAATTTAGTGTGTATAGTTCACTATCACCTTAAAGAAAAAAGTTGAAAAATAAAAATAAAATAAAAAATCTAGTTTTTAAAAGAATGTGGCACTGGGCGATGGAGGCACATGCTTTTTATCCCAGCACTTGAGAGGCAGAAGTAGGCAGATCTCTGAGATTGAGGCCAGCCTGGTCTATAGAGTGAGTTCTAAGAAACTAGGGCTGTTAACAGGAAAACCTTCTCTCTGAAAAAAAGAAGAAGAAGAAGAAGAAGAAAAAGAAATAGAAAAAAAGATATGGCTTTACTAGACATAATTTGATATTTGAATTTTCATTAATTTTTTAAAAAATGTGTATGGGTGTTTTGTTTACACGTATGTTTGTGTACCATGTGCATGCTTGGTACCCAGGGAGGCCAGAAGAAGGCCAGAAAAAGGATGCCCTAGAACTGGAGTTACATACAGTTGTGAGTTACCATATGCGTGCTGAAAATTGAACCAAACCCTTTGGGAGAACTGGAGAGTTCTTAACGCTGAGCCATCTCTCCAGCCCCTGCTCTTTGAATTTTAAATTGTGTGCTTTTATTTCTTGCATCCCATAAGCAGATGATTAGTAGAGAAGGAGAAAAGTGGATTTCTTTAGCCCTTAGAGACTGGAAAGAAGACAGGTGACATTACAGTTGGGTGACATCATAGTGTAAGAAAGAGCAGTTAGCTGATAGATTTTAAGCTCGTCTTGCTGTACCCGTTTTGTGTTAGGAAACTGGAGGGCAGTTGCATGCTTTGTCTCATCTCAGTTTTACACTGTGTGATAGATGCTGTCATAGTTTATATTTAAGGAAACTAAGGCTTAAAAAAGTTGCTTGCCAAATATCTAGTAAGTGGAACTTGATTGGAATTATTTTTCTTTCAAAGCCCCATCTCCTAACGGTTAGAGAAGATTGTGTAAGGATGGAAAGACTGTAGAACATTGCTTTGTACAACAAAATCTAGGTTTCATGGATATGAGGGGAGAACAGTCAGAACTTATTTTAGAAAAGTAATCAGAGGCCAGGCCTGAAATTTGTTTTCTCTGTGGTTTTTCTCCTTGGAGAGATTCAAGCATGAGAAACCATAGAAGAGTTTTAAGTGGGAAGTTATATAATCATGTTTGAGAATTGCTAAGGTAATGATAATGGCTGACCATTAGGGAGGGAGGGTAAGGATCTAAACTTAGTCACTTCGTAAGTGATGTGGAATGGATTTTAAAATTCCTAGGTGAGATTAGAAGTATTTAGAGCTGGAGAGATGGCTTAGTGGTTAAACACTTACTGCTCTTACAAAAAACGGCCATTTGGTTCTCAGCAGCCATGCATGCTAACTCCAGCTGGCGACCACGCCCTCATCTGGTCTCCCCAGGCACATGTTGACCCACACAGAGACACATATCTATACACATAAATAAAAACAAATCTTTTATTTATTTATTTTTAATTTATTAAAGATTTCTGTCTCTTCCCCACCGCCGCCTCCCCTTTCCCTCCCCCTCCCCCAATCAACTCCCCCTCACTTGTCAGCCCAAAGAGCAATCAGGGTTCTCTGCCCTGTGGGAAGTCCAAGGACCACCCTCCTCCATCCAGGTCTCCTAAGGCAAGCATCCAAACTGATACACTGACTTTTATTGATGCAGAAGAACTCTGATATGATAGCAGTAGACAAAAATTCACTAGTGGACCTCTGGTATTTGGGGTGGGTTATCGAGTAGTTCTTATATGTAATTTAATAGCTGATTCTGGGGCACACTGGTGGATTAACACAACTCACAAAAGCCTGGAATGATTATTAACTGCTTTACAGCAAATATAGAAGGACCACTGCCTCCTAGTAGCAAAATGTGAGATTGTCATCCCCTGGAATTGCATGAGGATTAAAGATGAGTCACAGCTCAGGGCTAAACTCTGTGTGTGACAGAAGTCTGCAAAAACTGAATTTCAGAACTGNAGGGTTCTCTGCCCTGTGGGAAGTCCAAGGACTACCCTCCTCCATCCAGGTCTCCTAAGGCGAGCATCCAAACTGCCTAGGCTCCCACAAAGCCAATACGTGCATGGCTCAAAAACCCATTGCCATTGTTCTTGAGGTCTCAGTAGCCCTCATTGTCCGCTATGTTCAGTGAGACCTGTTTTAACCCAGGCTTTTTCAGAAACATTTAATAATGGCTATTTATATCATGAAAATCTAGACTCTGTTGTACAGAAATAAGACCATCAATGAGAGGGGAATTGTGTAGGTATATATGAGAGTAAGGCATGTCCAGACACTGAGAAATGGGAAGGGTAATTCAAAATAAAGGTCTGGATTTAGTAGTAGACTCTTAGGTATGTGAGCGAGAATGAACTGGACTGTAACTGCTGACCTGAGGCTGGCAGTTGCTGCTGTTTATATTGTTGTTGCTTGAGATGGCTGTAAGAATCTTTGGGGATCAAACTTGGGACTTTGCAAACCCTAGACAGGCACTCTGTATCTCCAGCCTGTGTTTAGTACTAAAAACTAAATGTGTTAAAGTTTGTTTAGATGAAACTTATTTAATGATTCATGTCTAACAATATTTAATATTTCTAAGGATACAGACAATTTCTTTTAAATTATACTTGTTAATTCGTTTATAGGAAATGTGTACTGTTGAAGAGCCCAATGAAGAGTTTACATCTAGACACAGTTTAGAATGGAAGTTTCTATTTCTGGATCACAGGTAATGTCACCTTTAAATGTCACAAAAGAAAAAGAAAAGACCGTAATTATGTAATTCTGCTTATTAATGGACTACAGGGACAAATGTTCTAAACAGAATTTTGAAATTCATTATTCATTCTGGAAAAATGTAAATGCACTTCTCAAATTAATTTCTGGCTGTGATGTCTCTTGTAGAAAAGTAATACTTATTATTTATTTGTTGTTTGTTTGTTTGAGTTTTTCGAGGCACGGTTTCCCAGCAGCTATGGAGTGAGTCTTGGAATTTGCTCAGTAGACGAGGCTGGCCTTGAACTCACAGAGATCCACCTGCCTCTACCTCCCAAGTGCTGGGATTAAAAGGTGTACACCACCACCACCTGGCAATACTGATTTTTTTTATTGTCATTAAATAATTTAGGGCACCACCAATAATAGGCTATTTGCCATTTGAAGTTTTGGGAACATCAGGCTATGATTACTATCATGTGGATGACCTAGAAAATCTGGCAAAATGTCATGAGCACTGTAAGTAAATCTTAATGTTTCTCTGTTAAGAACTATTTTAAAGCACAGAAATAGATACTCTGTTCTATTAATGACCTGAGAAAAAATTTAGAACTGTTTTTTTTTCTAAACATATATAAAGGAAAATCTTATAGAACATTAGAGAAGTACATAGTTTCCCAAATCAGTTTAACCACAAAACCCAGTTTTTGCCTAACTTCAATTAAAGTACTTTAGAACCTAACATTTGAACTAATTTGAGAAGTTCCACTTAACAATGATTGCAGACATTGGCATTATTCTGAGTTTTGGTTAATAAGAGCTTTATAATTAGATGCCTCAGGTATCATACGTGTTAGTGTCTGTGAGAAAGTACAGTCAGTATGATTATGAGCTGTTGTTTCCCTACGTGTTGTATATCTGGGCATGAACAAGTTAATAGTATGAGTCTTTCAGTATATGGGATTTGTTATGAATGAAGAAATGTATAAGATCAGCAATGATTGACTATAAAGTTGGAAACGGGGGGATCTGGTTATTTGGGAGACCTTAAGCTAGTTTTTAAAAAACATCCTTATAGTTGATACATTTTTCTGAAAGTTATCCAGAAAATAATTCTATCTGTATAGAGTTAAAATGTAAATAAAAGCCTTTGTTTAAGAAATTTAGATTCTTATAGCTAAGTATATATCAAAGAAAAAAATATGTGTTTCTTTTCTTTTTCAGTAATGCAGTATGGGAAAGGCAAATCCTGTTATTATAGATTCCTGACCAAAGGACAGCAGTGGATTTGGCTTCAGACTCATTATTATATCACTTACCATCAGTGGAACTCAAGGCCAGAGTTCATTGTGTGTACTCACACTGTAGTAAGGTAATAATTCTCTAAAACATGTGTAAGGTGTGCTGATAGCCAAATATAATTTTATGTGTAGTTTGTTAATGAATGATAGTGATCTTTCCCCAGTTTTAATACTTAATATTTTTTAATAGTAAACTATTTAATAGTTAGAAGTCTAATACTGGCAGTGCATAAGTATGTAAGAGCTGACTTGAGTATTGTGCTGTAGCAGAAGCTGTACCAACATTCAAGCTGCAGTGCATGTCGTGAAAAGCATAAACCAGAGTAATGTCCTTCTTTCATTTAGTTCCTCTCAATTTACATGCTTAGTTCCTATAGGTCCTTGGTAGCATACCTAAGGCATATGTACACTACATATGTGTTAGGTTTGCTTAGCACATAGGAACTCATACAAAAGTACTGTGATCCAGAGAGAGATATAACTAGCACCAATTATTTGCATCTCTGCAGTATTTTAAATAAAAGGCCAAACATTAAAATTTGATTCTTTCCATTTATAGTTATGCAGAAGTCAGGGCTGAAAGACGACGAGAACTTGGCATTGAAGAGTCTCTTCCTGAGACAGCTGCTGACAAAGTATGTTTCTTACAGCCTCTTTTTTAAATATTTCATTTCCTAATAATTTGTGAGAGATTTGGTTATCTTTATAATATTTATTTTTCACCTTTTAAAAAATACCATTTGCTTCTAAAAAGGAATTGAAGATCTTGCCATTTAAAACTTAATTAGGTGAGAGACATACCCAAAATAATATTAAAACTATCATTATAATTGACTTTGATATGCTTGACTGTATTCCTTTTATAATTATAGACTATGATTTACTCCTTAGATGGCCTTTTCTGAGGTGATAACATACACTGTGAGAATACTGAGTAGTTTTAAGATGGAACCTTCCCTAAAGACACGTGACTGGGAAATTATAGTTAGAATTGGAACTCTGGTTTCTTTTTGTATACCATGTGGAAACCAAGCATATCACCTGTCTGATTTGATGGAGAGGGAAGTAGAGATCCAAGAGTAGTATTCTGGAATTTGTGTGGGAATATAGCTCTCTTACGTAAGTGCAGAGAGGGTTTGATCAGGGACAGATAGGTTTTCAACTCTATCAAACTGACAGCTATGACTTGCAGGTTACATCTGGCCTTCTGACTGATTTCACAACATCTGTAAACTATAAATGCATTTTATATATAAATACTTGAAAAAATCCAAATAATAATAATATTTTAATAATAAGGCTCAATGAAACAAGTATCAAATTCAAATTGCAGTGTTTATAAAGAACAGAACGACACCCAGTTGCTTATATTTTGTCTGTCAATATATTTGTGCTGCAGTAATTGAGTAGTGGTGACAGAGACTGTATGGCTGCGAGAAGCTGAGAGATTCACTCTCTGGGACAGTCAGTGTTACGGAGAGAGATGTCTGCTTCCTGGTTTATAGTAGCACAATGAGGCGTGGTAAATTACTTGAGGATCACATTTCCTCATCACGTTCTGCTCATGATTAGTGGTTGTTAGAATAGTGGGGAGCTTATGGCAAGGGTCTCAGTGAAATAAGAATTAGCTTAAGGAGAGGCGTTTGGGATGTCACAAGGTTGGAAAGGGACGTAGGAAAGGGAATGTTGTTGTATGGAGGTTTACCATCTGGATTGCAGGCAGATAAGAACCCTCGCAAGTTTCTTGATTATTAACTTGAAGTAAGAACAGTCAGTGTGCTTTGTTTCTTTGGCAATATTGTGCTGTGTAGGATAAGCAAAAGTGGTTTAACTATTGGGATTTTGCCAAGGAAATGATGATATGAGGAAATAGGAGCTAGGGTATTGAGCATATGTACACGGTTGTTAGAATATCAAACATAAATTTAAGATTCTTAAGGGAAAGAGGACAAAATGAAAGTGATATATAGAAGTGTAGAGTCAATGTAGTTTTGGCTTAAACCAGAGGATTATTGGAATTAGGATACTTAGGGATGAGTAGGTAATGTGGCAAGTTTTGGTCAAAAATGAGGATGCTCGAATTGAGGCTTTGAGGTATGACCAAGAATTAGTGACTTGAAGACTCATGGAGATTTTGAAGGGGTGACACCAAGGACAAGAGCTTGTGGTGTTGGGTTTGAGTAGAAGTGATTTGGGATTACTAGTTCTGGGGAGCGTTGAGCCAGAGGTTAGAATGCCGTTCAGGTGTGTGTGTGAAGTCAGCACGGGAACGATGCATGGCCTCAAGAAACCGTGTGGCATAGCGTGTGAGCTTAAGGAGGGCGTTTCTTCATCCTGTGTAGTTAAGATCTGAGAGTCCTAAAATAGAAACTCCCATTTTTGATGGGAATGACACAGACATTGGTGAGGTCTGATTTTTAGAACTAATGTGTGAAATAAATAATCAGAACTGAGGTGGAAAATGCAGAGCTGTTTGTTATTATGCACTGTGAAAGTGGGTGGAAGGTTTCAGAGGCTAGGAAGCAGTGAGAAATGGACTCAGATACAGGCTGGGAAGAGCTGCAAGTTAACGAAGGAGGAGACAAGGCATTGAGTGACATGGCCTCCACCCCAGAATGAATAACTTGGAGAGCAAATATTTTGCAATTATATGTAGCCTTGAAATAGGATGTACACTTGTTTCTTGTTCAATGATGGCATGATTCTATTCTGAGTATGGGATGGGGAGAAAGCACCAGTGTATGTTGTTCTGTCATAGAAGGTTCTGCTTTTGGTGGTGGGTAAGCCCGCCTAAGGCAAGGCTGTCAGTTGAGAGGGGAGACAAAGAATAAGGAACAGTGGGAAAGGATTGGGATAACTCAAGAATAGAAAAATGAGCCCTTTAGTACACTTGGCAGTTCTGCTGACTAGAATTGAGCATACACTTGAAGTTAGTTATTTTTGATAGTTCCTTTTAAAATGTGGTAAAATGGCAATTTTATTGACTTTAAGGCCACACTTCAGCATTGTAACATTCCTGCAGCTGTACAGCTGTCATCAGCATCCATATCTAGAACCTTTTCATCCTCTTAAACATTAGCTGTGTTTGTTAAACAGCTTTTCACCCCTTCCCTCCAGCTCTTTTCATCTGTGGCTTTCTTTTTTAAATTTGACTACTCTGAGTACCTCATGTAAGTAGAATCATGCGGTGTTTGTTCCATTATGACTGGCTAATTTTACTTGGTGGAATGTTCTCAGGGTTCATTATATCAGATTCCCCTTTGTTTTGCAGGATGGGTAATATTCTATTATGTGTGTGTGTGTGTCCTCTTATTAATCACTGGAATCCTGGGTTGCCTTCGCCTTTTATTTGTAATAATATGTGAACATAGGTAGGCGTACAGACAGCTACTATAGTCCCTACTTATTGGGTGTATACCAAGTAGTATACTGGATTATATGGTAGGTAACTCTCCGTTAGAATTTGAGAGAACCTGCCATACTATTTTCTATAGAGGCCATGCCATTTTTCCGGTCCCTTTACCAAGCTATAAGAGTTCAAGATTCTTTTCATCTTTATCATATTGATTGATTTCTGAGAAGCTTTTGTGTTTGGTGGGGGTTTGTTGTTATTTTTTTGTTGTTTTATTTACAACACAAAAAACTTTGTAACATTGACAGCCAAGAACTCTATATAAACCAGGTCTGTCACCCAAGTGTCTGACTTGGGTCTTCTGGTCCTAGCTATTCTAATAGAGCATGAGCTAGCATGACCGGTTTTGATTTGGATTCCCCTGGTTAGTAAGTTTGAGCAGTTCATCAGGTGATTGTTTCCTCCTTGGAAAAGTATTTATTTTCATTCTCTCTTTTTTGTTTTCTTATTTATCTATTCATTCATTTATCTATTTTGGATTTTTGTTTTGTTTTGTTTTTGAGGTAGGGTTTCATACAGCCCAGGATAGCCTTGGGCTGGCTATGCAGCCAGGGATGACCTTGAATTCCTGATGATTCTGCCTCTGCATCCCAAGTGTTTTGATATAGGTTTGTACCACCTGTGTCCAACTTGTCCTCTTTTTGTTTTGGGGTTTTGTTTGTTTCTTGACAGGACATCTTGCCGTGTTGTCCAGGCTGAGCTCAAATGATCCTCTTACCAGCCTTTGCAAATACTGTGTTGAAAGGTACATACTCGCAGGTATAGTCGCTCACTCCTGTAATCTTAGTTTTTGGGAAACTGAGGCAGGAGGATTGCTACAGGTTCCTGGCCAGTAGTGTGAGACTTTTCTCAACAACAAACAGGAGTGCATCTTGTCACAAATGATGTGTTTTGTGTCCATTTTTATAGCCGAGTTCTATTCTAGATATTTAGTCCTGATCAGATAATGATATATAAATATCTCCTTACTCTTGTAGATTATTTTAATTCTGTTGTCACCGCTGTTTTCTGATGCAGAAGTGTTTTTAATTTTGTGACCATTTCTTTATGCTTTATTCAAGTGTTTTATGTTTAGTTTGTAATGTTTATGTTTTTGATGAATTTTGAGCTAATTTTTTTTAACATAAAACAAGAGTAAAACCTGAGTCTTGTTATTTTTTTTCTAAATAGAGAATGAAATCAAATTTTACAATATTAAAATAAGACTTTTTTCCTGATACGCATACATACACACAGTTTTTCAACCTTGTAAAGCAAGGCTTTCGTTCCTTGTGCTTGCACACACAGTCTCTCCAGCCTCTTGTCCAGCTGTGCTGAGACCTCTGCACTGAGCGATGTGAAAACATTTATTTTTTTCTCGTCTCCTTAGAGCCAAGATTCAGGGTCTGACAACCGTATCAATACAGTCAGTCTCAAGGAAGCACTGGAAAGGTTTGATCACAGCCCAACTCCGTCTGCCTCTTCCAGAAGCTCACGAAAGTCATCTCACACAGCAGTCTCGGACCCTTCCTGTAAGTGCCTTGACCTGGGGACAAGCATGTGTTTCAAAGAGCTCTTCTAAATTACTTGTGTTGCTGATATCAGCACTTTTGTCCGGAGTTTTTCGAATTCTAGTTTTTTTTCAGTTTTGAAGTATAATTACCTTTCTAGTAAGAAGCAAATTATTTATCTTTAGAAAAGATTTAAGGTCATCAGAAGATGATATATAGATGGTAATGTTCTGCTTACCTTTTAAATGATTCCCTTATAAGAAAAAATACTACCTTTCATTGTAAACCAGGTGCTTATCAGCCGCATGTGAATGGTGGAAACAGAACCCTGGTCCTCTGCAATAATAAGGACTGTTAACCATTGAGTGTTCTTTAATTTATGGAGACTTGGGTAATTGCCTTTAAATTGTAGTTGATCCTCTGTATCTACAGCTGGTAATAGGAAATGCCTTCTCCATTTTCTGTATGAGCATGTGCAGGCTTCTTTCTTTGCCATTATTCTCTAGTCCTATTACAGCTGTTTTATCAAGTATGCATTGTAGTAGGTATTAGTAATCCGAAGTTGATTTGAATTATACAGAAGAATGTGCCTCGCTGATAAATACTATGCTATCTGCTAGAAGACACCTTAGTGTGCGTGGATTTTTATACCTGCAGGGAGCCCTGAAGCCTTTGAGGGAATTGAGGAGAACGGGAGGAACTGTTTTCAAAGTTTTTTGTCACACGTTTTCTTTGTCCTTAAAAAAGAAGTAATTAAAATTACTCTTATAAACATGGATTTATCTATCTAATATCAGAAAGCTAACTTAGTCATTTCTATTCATGAAGCATATTTTGAGATTAACCATTCAGATCTGTTTGTAAGCACCAATTCTCTTCTTTTTTAACTAACTTCAGCAACACCGACAAAGATCCCCACTGATACTAGCACTCCTCCCAGACAGCATTTGCCAGCTCACGAAAAGACGACACAGCGGAGGCCGTCCTTCAGCAGTCAGGTATGCGTGTTAGTCAGCCCTAACAGCCTTCAGCAGTCGGGTATGCCTGTTAGCCGGCATCGCAGCCTTCAGCAGTCAGGTATGCGTGTTAGCCAGCATCACAGCCTTCAGCAGTTCCCTGTTGCAGTAACAGATAACTAAGATACCCTTTCTGTAAGAATCACAATTTTCTGCAGACCTATGACATTCAAAATCTTTCCCATTTTACAGATAAAATGCTAGATAATTATTTTTTTAATTGTGAAAAGTGCTAATTGAGAGCTATGAAGTTTCAGTTGCCTTCAGTTCAGTCCACCCAACTTCCAATTGAGTGTACATCCAAGGGCCTGTGCTGGGTACCATGGGAAAGAAAAGATAAAAAGAGTAGAAAGGGCGACGTACTTTGTACTCAACAAAATACAAGGTTGTGAATGATAAACACATTGTGTTGGTGTTTATGGTGGAAGTCCTCCTAGATGAGTATGAGCATCACTTCATTGTCATTTTTTATTTTGCTTCTAGTCCATAAACTCCCAGTCTGTTGGTCCATCATTAACACAGCCAGTGATGTCTCAAGCTGCAAATTTACCAATTCCACAAGGCATGTCACAGGTATTTTTGTTTGTTTTAGTTGAGCATTTACAAATGATAATTGCATTTAAGCAAATATAATTTTATTCATATGTATATATAAATACATATACTTATAAAGGCAGTAAATCTTAATTGGAAATATTTAGAATATGTAGTGACATTTAGTTACCTACAATGATTTGGGTACCCCTGGACCCTTACTAGACAGAATCAACGGTGCATATATCTTTTAAGATTCTTGATGGTCTTATACAACAAAGAGTTTCCTTGCTTGCTGTGTTATACCATCTTACATATAACAACAGCTTATAGGTATCATTTTAAACATGAGATATACTAGTTCATTTTGTTCTTCCTATGGCTTTTGGAAGATTTGAGTAATTTACATATTAATTTATTTGTTTGCACATGGGGCATTGAGTTCTATGTATGTATTGAGTTACATATATCAGGGATGCTGACAGTATTTGTAATATCTATATTAATAAGCCTCTTGATCTAGAATATATGACATATAACTAAAATAACATGTTATGAAGTCTACATACAAGACTTGGATCCTTAATACAGCATAATCAAGTGTGAGATGCCAAGGGTGGTGGTACATGCCTTTCCTAACAATGTGGGAGGTGGGAGCCAGAAAATCAGGTGTTCAGGGTTTTCCATTGCTATATAGTGAGTTCACAACCAGCCGCCAAAAGCAAAACCAAAATAACAACACAAGTGAAGGAGAGCTGTTCAGAAGTGTGAGATGGCCTGAGTCCAAGGAGAAGTGAGTACTGAAGTCAGCAAGAGAGGAGTTCCCAGCGCACTGCTGCCTTCTGAACTGGAGTTAGAGCTCCTTTACAGTTCCAGAAATACTACTGACTTACAGTGATAAATATAGTAGAAAATCTTCAGTTTATTTGACACTAAAAGCTAGCAGCACTACCCTGTAAGAGCTCTATAACAGTACTGTATTATTAAATATCAAATTGAATCTTCAAATTTTATTTATTTTGAAGTATTGACAGAACTTTTATGTAATATGAAGACATAGTTTCAATATTATTTGTTGTTTAATTTAATTATGAGTAAAATATTATCAACATCTTTATGGAGGTGTTTTTATGAATATATAAGTAATATATACTATATCAAAAATGGTGCTAAGCATTCAGTCCTCCTGTTTTCATTGACTAAGTAAAGCTCAGTACTTATATTCTGTGCTTGTTTCTGTTTTTTAGTTTGTGTATGGTAGAAATGCTTTAAATTGTGACAACATGACATTTACCTGTAGGAAAAAGTAATTTTAGTTACAATAAAATACATGTGTATGACATAAAAATAAATATAAAATATTTAACTAACATTTTTAAAAGGCATGAGAAAGTTGAGGTACTAAATTTGTAATTTTTCTCAAGCCTAGTAGAATCTAATACATGATATCAGTTTGTTGTTGTCATCCTCAAAGGTCAAAGTTTCATTCTTTAAAAGCTATTATTCAGAAGTCAAGTATGATGGTGCAATACCTGGTAGGCAGACGCAGGAGGATTACCAAAAGTTTGAAGCGAACCTGATGTATGGAAAGAGTTCCAATCCAGCCAGAGCTACATAGTGAGGCCATTTCAAGAAAATAAAAAAAAAAAAGTAATATTCAACATCTTTAGCACAAGCTTAAAAAGAACTCATTAATTTAGGACAACGTTTTTTTTTTTTTTTTTTTTTTTTTTTTTTTTTTTTTNNNNTTTTTGGTTTCTCGAGACAGGGTTTCTCTGTGGCTTTGGAGCCTGTCCTGGAACTAGCTCTGTAGACCAGGCTGGTCTCGAACTCACAGAGATCCGCCTGCCTCTGCCTCCCGAGTGCTGGGATTAAAGGCGGGCGCCACCATTGCCCCGCAAGGACAACCTTTTTGAAGATAGAATATGGAAGGGTAGGGTGGGCATTTCCTGCTTTTAGGTGCAGTTCACTGCAGGAAACTATGAAGCTAGATTTCCCACAAAGTAAAATGCTCTATTATTACATAGTACAAAGCTGTTCATGGAAATAAATGAGTAATGAGTCATCGCATGTGCCTAAATTGTAGGAACAGCTTATTAATTGGATATAAAACCCCTGAATGCAGAATGACTTTCTTCATTCATGTGTACATTCATTCATAATTTCTTAGAATTCGTTAGTCTTTTAAAAAACTGTGTTTTAAACTGGTCTAAGGATAGTATCACTGAAAAGTAGTTTTTTTCAAAACAGTATGAGAATGAAATTATTGGTTATTTGTCAGATGTAAATAAGTGATTTTTGTATATGTGGAGAGGAGGGAAGATACTGGGAACTGAACTCAGGGTCTTGAACATCCTAGGGAAATGCTCTGTATTTATTTGAGCCCTCAAGCCCTTTCTTTTTACTTTTTATTTTGAGACCCAGCCTTAAAATGTTGCCCAGGCTAAACTTGAACTCACTCTGCATCCCATTTGTGATCCTCCTGCCTAGCTTTGGGTAATTCTGCCAATGTACACGCAGAGGGCCCTCTAGAGATGACAGTTTGCTTTGGGTTCATTCTCCTCTGGTAAAATGTAGACATGAAGGGAGTAGCTAAAAAACTTGTTTTGCTAAGTTGTTGAGGCACAGATAAGTTGAGGTTGTCTTTTCGCTTTTTTTTAAGAGTCGGGCTCACTTTTTAGCCCTGACTGATCTAAACCATTCTGTGTAGAACAGGCTGGCCTCAACCTCACAGAGATCCACCTGCCTCTGCCTCCCAAGTGCTAAGATTAAAGGTATATGCCAGCACACCTAGAAGCACTCACATCTTCTAGCTGCAGATTGTTCTGTAATTAGTCATGGTCGAGTCAGAAGTCAAAAGCATACCACCAGAATTCAAGCAGAAGTAATATAAAGATGGGAGAAGAATCTCTAAAAAATGCTAAGAATAGGAAGGTAAGCCAGATAAGCCCAACAGCCTGAGTTCTGCCCCCAGACCTGCGTGGTAGAGGAGAGAACAACTCCTCTAGGTTGTCCTCTGACCTACACACACATTTTGTGACATGGGCCCCTCCCCATGTAGTAAGTGTAACTTTAAAAAAATGATGTGAGAACCACCACTCTCATAAATCAAGGGGAGCACAGCCAAGGACGGACGTACTGAGGCAGCCTCCTGAGCAGCTCTTATTCTGTACTAGATGGGTTTCTTGTGGCTGGGGCCACTGAGTAGAGAAGTGCACTGAGCTGTCATGGAAGGAGGCCATCTGCTGGGAAAGTGAGGCTTTCTGGGTGAGCCAGGGGCTTCACATGGGGGAGGAGCAGCTACCACTGGCACATGGTGACAGAAGAGAAGGGCCCCCACCAGCACCAGGAAAATAAGCACTTCTGCAGCAGCTTCTTAGGGGTCTGGAGGCAGACACTGATTTTGAAGTCTAGCTTTAGTGTCACAAGGAGAATAAAGATCGCGGTTTGGGAACTGACATTCTGGTCTCGTGGCACTGCTTGCTTTTCACAGCGCACAGGTATTAGGACCAGGGACTTCTAAGATGTGTTATGCTTTCTTTCCATGTACTGCTGCAGTTTCAGTTTTCAGCCCAGTTAGGAGCCATGCAGCATTTAAAAGACCAGCTGGAGCAGCGGACACGGATGATAGAGGCAAATATTCATCGGCAACAAGAAGAGCTAAGGAAAATCCAAGAACAGCTTCAAATGGTCCATGGACAAGGGCTTCAGGTAAATTATTCTGAGCACAGAGAATCTCATTCACAGTTTGGGTTCCTAAAAATTGCCTCCTCCCACTTAAATGAAAAGTCGGATGCAAGAGGTGGGTTTTTCCCAGTTCAGTACACATTTGTAGTAGGGGGCTGCTTAGACCCAAAATAATCACCCAGAAGCGATATTATTTACAACATTGTTTGCCCAATAGCTTAAGTGTATTGCTAGCTAGCATTTAGAATTAACCCATCTCTATTCATCTGTGTATTGACTCATGGCTATGGCTTACCAGCAAGGTTCTGGCTCGACTGTTCCCAGTAGCTACATGGTGTCTCCTCACTCTGACTCCACCTAATATATAATATATATCTTTCAGCCTTATGTTCTGTTAAGCCATTGGCCGAAAGCAGCCTCTTTATTCATTAATCAATAAAAGCAGCACATATATAGAAGGACTTCGCACACCACACATTAGCTATCTGCTCAATTCTAGAACCTCCAAAGATACTCATTCTGAGGGCATTGCTATCAGCATCATTGCTTTTTACACTAACAAACTTCAATTTTAGTAAGTTCAAATCCATAATTAAAAAAGTTTTACTTTGTAGAACCTTTGAGGTAGAGCGTTTATATGTTTTAGTAAAATGCCAATAGATATGATTCCTATTACTTGACTAAGACATTATGCTTACTACTTGACTAACAGGGATGTGTAGAGAACTAGGGCTTTGCTGAAGGGAAACTAGGTGAACACTCTTCTGTGTACTGTCACGAACTTTGAGTGATGGATGGTACAAAGCTGCCAGCAGCAGCCCTTTGACAAGCACTGAATAACACGGTTGATCTTGTGGCTGAGAAAGAATGAATGTGTATCTTCATAGTTTATTGTTATTATTGCTAATTGGTCTTGCAAAATGTGCTAATTACTTGTTACTTGACTGTTAAACTTCATTTTGCTTGGCTTCTTTCAGTGTTCTCCTTGGTCTTTTTGTTTGTTTTTTTATTTAAAAACTGTAATGCTTATTTAGTCTGGGAATATAGCTTATTGGTAGAGTGTTTACCTAAAATTCTTGAGACCCTGGTTTGATTCCCAGCACCCTCACAAAAAAATGTAATTAAAAATTGGGTGTGTGTGTGTGTGTGTGAGAGAGAGAGAGAGAGAGAGAGAGAGAGAGAGAGAGAGAGAGAGAGAGAGAGAGAATATGAATGTGAGTATGTATGTACTACAGAATATATGTGGAGGTCAGAAGATAACTTTGGGGACTCTATTTTTTCCTTCCACCATGGGATCCAAACACCAAACTCAGACTACCAGGCTTGTGCAGCAAGCTGAGCCTTCCTGCCAAAGAAAGTTCACTGAAATGTAATCTTTATTTTCAAAGATGTTTTTGCAACAATCAAACTCTGGATTGAATTTTGGTTCCGTTCAACTTGCCTCTGGAAATTCTAATATCCAGCAACTTACACCTATAAATATGCAAAGCCAAGTCGTTTCTGGTAGCCAGATTCCAAGTGGAATGAATACTGGACATATGACCACAAACCAGCATGTGATACAACAGAATCTACACAGTACATCAGCTCAGGTAATGGACCAGAATGTCTGCCTAAAGCTCTGTGCTGCATCAGCTGCTAAATTTTAATAAAAATTAGAACATACGATATTGACAACGATCACTAAAGTATTTTGTAGAAAATATGTTACTATTAAATATTTTGATATTTAAGAATTTTATGTTTTGTGGACCTAGTTTAATAATTCTACCAGATTCTTAAAACATGCAAACTTCCTGTATGTAAAAGTCTTTGATTTGCAAGAGCTTCTTGAATAGCAAGCATACTGAATAGAATGTTGTGGAAGTAGGAATAGTTTAATCATTCTGTAGAATTCTGGTAATTAATTAGTGTTCATCTGTTACTATATTTGAAAAACATACTATGTGACCATCACTGACTTGCTTTGAGCCTTTAACAGACGTCTCCCGTGCATGTTTTTTACTTCCCTGTTAAGATCATACTTCTTTTAAAGTATTAGCTTACTTCCCATCAAAGAATCCAGACTAAGTCAACTTTCCAAATCCGCCTTTTTTGTATTTCTCTCAGAATAATATATTTTGCTAGTCCATTTCTGTTCTGTCAGCCATTGTCAAATGGTGAATAGTAAAAGCATGCCGTCCTATAACTGTTAGATAATCTCTGTAAAATCTTCATTTCCAACAGAGTCAACAGAGTGTAATGAGTGGACATAGTCAGCAGACGTCTCTTCCAAGCCAGACGCCCAGCACTCTCACAGCCCCACTGTACAATACAATGGTGATCTCCCAGCCTGCGGCCGGGAGCATGGTCCAGATCCCATCCAGTATGCCCCAGAACAGTACGCAGAGTGCTACGGTAACCACGTTCACTCAGGACAGACAGATAAGGTGGTTGTCATACTTCAGTTATTATTTTCAGAGTTGTAAATTTATTGAATAAAAACAACTTGTGTGCTCAGTGCTTAAGAACACTTGCTTCTCTTCCAGAAAGACAAGTTCAGTTCCCAGCACTCCCCTTCTGCAGCCACAGCTCCTTAACTCCAGCTGCAGGGTTCTCATGACCTCTTCTGGCCTTCTGCATGCCTTCATGCATGCGGCAGACACAGGAAAAGAAAACCATAGAAACAAGAATATAAAAATATCTACATGGGCTAGTGATACAAGTCAGGAGTAGAGAAGTTGCCTGTGTGTGAACAGGACCCTCAGTTCAATCCTCAGTATTTCACTTTTCTCCAAAACCATTAATTTCATTTTTTACCATGAAATTTTAGTTTATTGCTTACTATACCCATTTTTTAAGATTTGAAGTAAATACTGTATCACTTATATTAAAGATTTAACAGAATAACATCAAAATTTATTTTTCATCCTGAGCTGGGCTGTCAGATACAGAAGCCCATTTTGTAGGCACTGTCACACAAAGCTTCAGTGGGCTCTGTCCCCATGCCACTGGGGTCGTAGTGAAGCATTAAGAGAGCAGCACTGGGGTCCCAAGCTGGATGAGCTGGCATGTATTTTGGGGAGCCCGGGAAGAGGGAACATATTTCAATAGATATTTCCTTTCCACAGGAAATGAAACATTAATGAAAATAAGAGAATAACCAGCTCGCATATACTTGGTGTGATAAATATTTGGCAGACTTTATAGCGGAACAGATGAAATTTATGGTTGAAGTAAACAAATGAAAAGTGTGGTCAGAACTTGTTGGCCTTTGTCATAAAGAAACATGGCTTTAAAGGACTGGGGTTCGATCATTGGCACTGCAGAAATAATACTTTTTTGGTCGTGTGGATGGTATTAGCATTAAAGCACACATCTGTAGACTTCCTGCTTTTGTGCTGTGGCTCTCTCATGTCTGCCCTAGTCGGCTACTCCCTTGTCGTCAGTGCTAGCAGTGAACTTCAGCAAACGGGAAAGGCCAACAGAAGGAATACTGTCACCAGAGAATGGAAGAGAAGAGAAACTAGTCAATTCTGACCACGAGTAATATTCTGTATTGATAAATTTCACTTTCATTTATCCTTTAAAATGTCACTTTTCCTTACATTTATAAAATAAAAACCTTGAGTATAATTTTCCTATAAATGTAAAATTTTTTAAAAGTGATTTTATAGTAGTTGTAATTTTCTCATGAACTGTTTGCCATTGTAGTCAATGCACTCTGCTTAACATATATTTAACTCCTAACTATCTTGCCATTTTATAAAAAGTGAACTTTTACAGATTTAAAAGTTTTAATTGATAAAAATATAGACAACAAAACTTCTGTATAAACATTTATTTATTTTGGAGTTTATTAAAAAAAAACTATCTTTTTTTTCCTTATACATACCAATCCAAGTTCCTACTCCCTTCTCTCCTCCCATTCCGTCCACTTACCCTCACCCCACCGCCCCCCATCCACTTCACAGAGAGGGTAAAGCACATTGCTTTGGGATAGGTCAAGGCCCTTCCTGCTATAGCTAGGCTGAGCAAGGTATCCATCCAAAGAGAATAGGTTTCCAAAAAGCCAGTACATGCAGTAGGGATAAATCCTGGTGCCACTGCCAGTGTCCCCGCAGTCAGCCCCAGCCATGTAACTGTCACTTACATTCAGAGGAAGTAGTTTGATCTATGCTGGTTCCTTCCCTGTCTGACTGGAGTTGATGAGCTCCCATTAGCTCAGGTAAGCTGTCTCAGTGGGTGTCCCCATCACAGTCTTGACCTCTTTGCTCATATTCTCACTCCTCCCACTCTTAAACTGGACTTTGGGAGCTCAGTCCAGTGCTCTGATGTGGGTCTCTGCTTCTGTTTCCATCAGTTGCTGGATGAAGGTTCTATGGTAATATTTAAGATAGTCATCAATCTGACTACAGGGCAAGGCCTGTTTGGGCACCTTCTCCTCTGTTTCTTAGAGTATTAGCTGGGGTCATTCTTGTGGACTCCTGGGAATTTCTCTAGAGCAAGGTAGCCCCATAATGGCTCCCTCAATCAAGATATCTCTTTCCTTGCTCTCATCTTTGTCCTTCCTTCATCTCAACTATCCTGGTCCCTCAAGTTCTTCTCTCCCCCTCTCCTTCCACCCTCCTTTTCCCCCACCCCCACCCCCATGCTCCCAGTTTCATCAGGCGATCTTGCCTATTTCAACTTTCCTGGTGGTTCTATGTATGTTTTTCTTAGGGTTCACTTTGTTACTTAGCTTCTCTAGGATCGTGAACTATAGGCACAACATCCTTTGTTTATAGCTAGTATCCACTTAGGAGTGAGTACATACCATATCCATCTTTTTAGGTCTGGATTACCTCACCATCCATTCACATTCATTTTGGGTTTGTTGTTGTTGTTTTGAGACAGGATTTCTCTGTGTAGCTCTGACTGTCCTGGATCTCCCTTTGTAGACTAGGCTCACCCTGAGATCTGCCTGCCTCTGCCTCCCAGGTGCTGTGATTACAGGCATGCAGCACTGCTACCTGGCTATGTGTTAACCATTTTAGAGTGTGCTGTCCTGTGGCCTTGAGTATATCCACACGTGGTTCCAGCTATCACCCTCAACCATCTTCAGAGCATTTTTTATCTTTCCAAATTGAAACTCATTAAACAACTCCTTAGCCTTTCTGCCTGTTGATTTTGGCAACCACCATTCTGTTTTCTGATTATATAAATTTGACTGCCTAGAGATACTTTGTGTAAATTAATTACCCAGCAATTTATCTTTTTGTAACTTGTATTTCACCTAACAGAATATTCTCAGGGCTTATCTGTGTTTTCAGATATCAAATTTATTTTAAGGACAAGTGTTCTTCTGTATGTTGTACATAGGTAGCATTTTCCTTACCGTTCTGCCAGTGGATCCTTGGGTTGTTTCCATACCTCAGCTGCTGTCAGTAAATACAGCTGTGCACAAAGCATCCTCGTGTGAGCTTCCTGCCTTTTGCATTCTCTGACTTAGTGCTCAGAAATGGACTTCTTTTAATTCTTTGAAGAACTGTTACAGGATTGTCCTGGTTAGGGTTAGTTGGTTGGTTTTGTTTTTGTCAACGTGACACAAGCTAGCGTTAGTAGGAAGAAGAATCTCAATTGAGAAAACAGAAAAGCTCTATCCTGTTGTCTGTAGGCAATTTCTTGAAGAATGATTAATGTGGAGGGGCCCTGCCTATGGGGCAGTGCAGTTCCCTGCAAATGGTTCTGGGCTGTATGAGAAAGCCAGTAAAGGGTGCTTCTCTGTTCTCTCAACTTCAGTTCCTCCCTCCATTGTTCCTGCCTTGGCTTCCCTCAGTGGCCTGTGACTTGGGATTTTGTAAGCTAGATAAACCCTTTCCTCCTCATGTTGCTTTTTGGTCCTGGTGTTTTATCATAGCAATAGAAAGCAAATTAAGACAACAGTTTTCCTAGTCTGTTAATTTTTCTGTAATAGTGAACTGATTGGCACACAGTGGCTTTCCATTGCTATTTTATTTTCATTTCTCTAATGATTAGGTCTAGTGAGGACTTTTTTTATGTGTCTCTTGGCTATTCGTATTTTTTGGAAAAAACGTTTAACTTTTGTCCAGTTTTTAAATGTATTGAGTGTTGTTTGATTGCAAGAGTTCTTTATATGTCTGGCTAAGCTTGATCTCATCCAGTTAATTTTTTATTTAATGTTACCTACCTGTGCTTTTGGCATTGATAGTGATATTGTTGCCAAGCCCAACATCATGAAATTTGTGTGCCTTTTTTCCTAAGAGTTTTGTAGTTTATATCTTATGTTTAGATCTTTTATTCATTTTTATATATGGCATGGCAGGCCCTTCATTATCTTGAATATGAGTATTTTTTAAAGTTGTTTTGTTGTTATAATATGTTTTATATTACAAACTGTGTGTGTGTATGTATTGTTTGTTTGATTGATATCCCCACACACACCAAGAAAGAGCTCTTTAAAATTGTTTTTGGTGCTGGAGATTGACCCCAACATGCTATACAAGCAAGCATTCTGCCACTAAACTATATCCCTAGCCTCCAAGGAGAATCTCTGAAAACAGAAACTAGGAACATATGCTTTTATAAAATAAATGAACCATTTCATTGGGTATTATCTAAGATAAATATTTAGCTGACTTGAGTTATGCTTGGTCCTTTTGATGCCATTTCTTTGTTTTCTCTCACAGATTTTCTCAAGGTCAGCAACTTGTGACCAAATTAGTGACTGCTCCTGTAGCTTGTGGGGCTGTCATGGTACCAAGTACCATGCTTATGGGCCAGGTGGTGACTGCCTATCCGACCTTTGCCACACAACAGCAACAGCAGCAGCAGCAACAACAACAGCAGCAGCAGCAACAGCAGCAGAGCTCCCAAGAGCAGCAGCTTCCTGCAGTTCAGCAACCATCTCAGGCCCAGCTGACCCAGCCACCACAGCAGTTTTTACAGGTAAGTCTCACCATGGGGAAGTCGCCTAGAGCTGATTGCCTATTTTATAACCAAACAAGATGATAAATGAACAAGGTTGTAAAAGACCTGGAAAATCTGTAAAGGCTTTTTGTAGGATTTAAATATCTATAGAAATAGAAAGCTTGTCCTAATCGGCTATTTTATTTTTCTTCTTCAGTCTTGGAAGGCTTTTAAAACCTTGTCAAGCCAAACTTGTAGTTATCTGAATTTCTGGCCAGAGTAAGTGGCCTACTTCCTGACCATATCAAATCACTTATTAAGCCCATTTTCTCTCTCAGGCTAGTATTTCAAGAATTTAATAAAAAAGCCCCATTTTCTTTCTTTAATACCTTCAAACTACTCTTCACTGAGCAGGTACATCAAGAAGAATCCCTTTTTTAGCCTAGGAGTTACCTTAATCATCAGATAAAATTTTATTAGATTGTGATTTTGTTGTGTTTGTTGTGCCTGGCCTGGAACTCATGCAGATCTTCCTGCTTCTGCATTCTGGGATTACAGGTATGCACTACCATGCCAGATTATTGAAATTTTCTTGTAGGTGCAGTATAGTTTGTCACTAGAACTTAGGCTCTAAAGTCAGGATGCCCTCAAATTGAGTAATTGTGATACCACATACACATGACCTTTGCGATAGCACTTAAACTTGTCAAACCTCTTGATGTATTGGATGTAATAGTTTATACTTCATAACACTTTAAGGTATATAGCTAGCTGTCATTGATGACCATGATACTGGCAAATGTGGTAAGACATTCATATTAATGACAAAACCCACCCAGATGCCATGTGGATAAACCTATCCATAGGTCCAGAAGAAAGTCCCCGTCGGCTAGGATCCTCTGCCAAGAACCAACAGAACTAGTTTCTAGACTCTAGTGTTGGGGAATCTGGTGTTTTTTCTACAAGAGGCCATCTGGGCTAGGTGGAATTCTTATTTTGGTAACATGGAATACTGAAACAGCCTTACTGCTTAAATATTTGAGTCACACCCACAGGACTTAAGTCTGAACTACTAAAATTAATAACTAGGTTAGCTATTGTTATAAATAATAAAACAAGTCTTAGGCTATTATTTAGATGATAATATATAAATACACAAACACATATATAATATACATGTTATATATAAAAGCTCCAGTGAGATTTAAACAAAAGCTTTAAAAAATGTGATTTGCCTTAAGGTCTAGTATTTTGAATCTATCAAAGAAGACAGGCCTTTAAAAAGAAGGAGTGTTTGGGAACAGGGAGACAGCTCAGTGAGTGAGGGTACTATCTTCTGAGCCTGATGTTCAGTCTCAGATTTCTACATAGTGAAAGGAGAGAACTGACTCCCACAGCTGTCCCATGACTCCCACATGTGAACCCTAATAGTTGCACACACAAACAGAATAAATGTTTATAAGATGAACATCCTCTTCTTTCTTGCCCCCACCGCAAACATGCATCCCCAAAACATAAGAACTTTGATAAATACATAATTTGGCTTTTCTAATGGACCTGTTTGAAAATGTACTTGGATTGTAGTCAGGGAAGTAAATGCCATAAATCCATTTGACTTACCAAGACTTTTATGGTAGCAAATCAAGAAGAAAAATTTTAAGTAAGGTCCTTGTCAAGTTTCGTCATCTCACGGTTTAAATCTGTCCTTAGACTTGAGTACATAGGTTTTCTTCATACACATTTGCAAATGTTACTAGTTTCAGTTCAAGGATGTCTCAGTGTGTGCTGTCTTCCAGAAGTTGTTCACTTGAAAATTCTCCCACTGTCTCAGCTAGTCCCTTTTTGTGAGCCAGGAGTCAAAACATGACTAAAGAAACACTCAAGAGTTGAGGCTTTCAGGTCTGACATGTGGATTAGTGATGGTAGATCAGTCCCTGTTTGGGGGAGGGGTTATTTTTGTTTTGTTACTTCATAAGGCCACATAGGACTTCAGCCTCCAGCAGTGCCCTCCTTTTTTCTATAATGTTTGTACAAACTCAGCATCATAGATACTTGTACTGAGGGTGGGAGAAGTAGACCGCTTGATAGTGTCACACATCTGCAGGTGGACCAGCTCAATTTAACCAAATCTACTTAAGGCCTGTGCTTTTCTGACTACTCCGGTTGGGGGAGGGACGCTAGTGTGTGCGTGCAAATGTGTGGAGGCCAGCAGTCAGCCCTCAGGTCTTGCTCCTTAGTCTACCTTGTCTTTCTGAAATGGCCTTATAGGAACCTGGGGCTCACTTACTAGGCTAGGTTGGCTGACCAGTGAGCCTCAGGGATCGTCCTGTCTCCACCTCACCCAATCTGGGATTACAAGCACTTATGGGCAGAGCTATATTTTTTTTTTAACTCTGGTCTTGTTCTTAACCAACAGGCAGACCTATGTGCAGATGGCACTGTCTGTCTGACCAGGGAGTATCCGTGTCTTATACAGACATAGCTGTGCTCCAGTTTTTCTGCCTAAATTTGGGCCTGGAGGAAATAAAATAAAAATATGCAGTTTGTCTCAAGACAGTATTTTATACTATTAAATTCTCAGCACAAATTCCTTTGAATTAAATTTTATTATGCTTTTAGAAAGAAGGTAAGGCTTCTGTTTTCCAAAACCAGTTTTCCAAAACCAGATTAGTGAACAAAATGAGAATTTAAAGCTCTTGTCCCTGTGGACAGTGGACAATGTGAATGGACAGTGTGAAGACATAAAATCATGTGCATAATCCTCCTTTTGTTTTGTAGACACCTAGGTTGCTCCATGGGAACCCTTCCGCTCAGCTCATCCTCTCTGCTGCCTTTCCTCTACAACAGAGCACCTTCCCTCCGTCGCATCACCAGCAACACCAGCCTCAGCAGCAGCAGCAGCTTAGTCGGCACAGGACTGACAGTCTGAGTGACCCTCCCAAGGTCCAGCCACAGTAGCACACACACTTCCTCTCTGACACTAGAGAGGAAGGGGATGGCCAGAAAGTCACTCAGATGACATACGGTTAGAAGTTTGGCAGTTCTGTGAGGGTAGTCTTGAGTGTTCCAGTTCCTGGATTAGTTGGTAGGGAGATGCTGCCCAGTGCTACAGATGTACATTAAATACCAGCCAGTGGGGGATTGTAGGGACACAGCCAATCGGACAGTTTCTTTGCCCAGATATTTTTTTGATGGAGAAAGAGTATATTGCCAAATGTTAACAAGCTCAACTATCCTGACCTTTACTGAATCAGAAAAGCACTGACAGTGTTGGTAGCTTTAGTGGTTCTGTGCCTGGTATCAAATGTCAGAGGACACACCACTGCCAGGGGTTTGCTTAGATCCATGAAGATAGTCCAGTAGTTAGTAGTCCCCACCCCAAACTCCCCTCCCTGCTCAGATAATGATGGATCAGTGATTCCTTTCAGAATGTTGTGCAGGTTTGAATTCTCTGTATAGACGCTCTATAGATGTGTCTGTGTCTGGATGGAGGAGAGCAAGCCTTCTTTGCGCAGCATGAAAGCATTATCTGTCCCTTACAGGTATGAGTACATTTCATTAGATTTTGACACCATGTACAAACTGATAGCAGCCTCCTTTTCATTTTGTTTACAACATAATAGTGTTCTAGTCACTTTTCCAGGGCACAAGTCTTTTTGTGCGTGCTTTGGCTGTGGTGTCACAGTTTGTTCAGTGAGATATAATGTGCTGCTGGGAATGGATTTTTTTTCAGGTTAAATTATTGCTACATTTCCATTTATTCAGAAATATCCCTATTTCATTATTTTAATTATGTTTGAAAATAGAATTGCACTGTTTTATTTTGGATGGTTGGTTGAGAGTTTGATCATGTATTTTGATATGTTTCATAGTTGGAATATTTATGTAAATGGTTTTCAACAAGCCTGAAAGTGATTTCAAGAATGTTTCAGTTATAAGAGTCAAATTTGCACACAGAACATTTTAGGCACTTTTTAACATTCTCAGTGGTGGGAATTTTAACTTTTAGGATTTGTTGGAATCTTTTTATTATCCTTAAAAATTTCAATGCTTCTTTTAGTCAAAATGATTCAGGGTTATTTGAGGGGGGAAAAACCCATAGTGCCTTGATTTTAATTCAGGTGATAACTCACCGTCTTGAACTCATTGTCTGGTTTCAGTAGCAGTTTTGAAACCTTAGTACATTTTTAGCAGCATGTGGGTCTCAGTGTCATTCTCAAGTTCCCATGAAGACTGCTGTGTCTCATGGGCCACCTGAATAGGATCACGGTTGTTAATGTGATCCCAAATTTATTTCCAAATTGTTTCTTCCTTTAAAGCTAAATAGTCCTTTAAGAATTACTGGTAAACACTTGCTCAGAGGAAGGGTAGGAATTGCCTTTAACCTTTGTCAAACCACGACTGTAACTCACATGCTTTCTAAACATGAATTAAGATTTCATCTGGCAATATCATACTCTACAGGTAATAAACTCCAACGAAGTTACATAGATTTTAAAGAGCATTTTTTTTTTTTAGATTTTATGGTACTAATAATGAAATTTTCAATTATAGAACAAAAGAGAAATAGAAAATAAAACATTACTGGGAAAAGGGAAGACAAGTGTGGCAAATTAGAATTGACCTTAGAAGAAAGTGTGTACCGGATGAGGCTGCTAAGCAGAGGTTCTCAGCAGTGAAAATAACCTAACGCAGAATTCCTAGATAAGGGCTCTGGGGAACACGGAATCAGTTATCTGTCCTCAGCTTTGTTGTCATCCTTAAGTATGTCTTTGTTTTCCTGTTTACCTGGCTGCAGTTAAGTTAGAAAGTTAGTGGTGAAAAAGAACACAACCAAAGAAAATTGGTACCTACCCTTCTGCAAAGAATTGTGGCTAGATACCAGTCAGTAACCGACATATCAGTCTCTAGTTGACGCTCACATGGACACCCGGAGAGCGGGGAGAACACATGTATGCATATGCAAGCTTATACACACGTGATGAAATTAATGTGAAATAGAGCACCCACACTGCTTTCTCCCCTTCCAAATTGCCTTCCATGTCATCTGAGTTGTGCCTCATTTACTTTTTGGCAATACCTAGTGATAAGGATTTAGCTAACAGGAGATACAACATACTAATTATGTAATTCTTGTTGTTCTCCACAGTTTATCTTCCTGCTTCAAAGCAGTTGATAAAGGAGCACCAAGCCACTAACTTAGGTGTCCATGTGGAGCGCGGTGCTGGGCAACACTTGTCAGCACCAACTAACTGCCTCTCAGCTCCTTAATTCTTGCTTTCCCCGATGGCAAACTGTCCCTGTCTGTATCCTACATAGACTTCAGCATTCTGATGAAGGTTGATCTGTTGCCTGCTCTTCATTTCTATAGCCAAAGTTGTTGACTGAAACCTAAATCTAAAAATCTAAATTATGAAAAGATACCAAATAGAAACACTTCTCAGCTTCTTATAAACTTTAATGTCCCCTACTCTATTTCATGGGGATTCATTTTTCTTTAAAATTTGGATTCTGGGCAGCACTTTTTAGTTAAGAAATTGTTCGGGTGCGGGTCAGATAGGTTCTCGCTGCCCTGCAGGTACCTTGCTCTGGGCTGCTTCTGCATGGGGTGTTGCTGACGGTAAGGGATGAGGACAGTACAGCACAAAGCTGCTCTTGAGGCTGGCGTTGGAAAGTACTCCTCTTTTCTTCCTTAGAGTAGTAACTATGGAGGGGCTGCATACAACTGAGCACCACAGGCCCTTCCCCAAGCTCTGGAGTGCTGAGCTCTGCTGTCGATAGACATGGCTTAGGAATGTACTAATAAAAGAACGCCTGTGCTTTTGAATAGTGATAGAAAACTGTGCAAACTAGTGTGTGTTTGAGTTGTGTGTGCTGTAGTTGGCCGTTGCCTTAAAGCAGTCTCTTGAAGTTAGTTGGGAGCACTGAAGCAGTCCAGCTGTATAAAGGGCATCGTGTGGAGGGAATGAGCCCTTGTTCAAGCCTTAGAAAGGGACCCTTAAAGTAGTAGTCTACAGAGGTAGATTCTTTTCACTTGGATATTACTGTGTGCTTAAAATGTTTCCACTACATTAAGGATTTTTTTTTTTAAGTGGAACGCAGATAGCATTTTTAGTATTATTTTTTCTGTATGGTGATTAGTTTGTTGGTAAGCATTTGTGTAAAACGCGTTCAAGCTTATCACCTTTCCAGTACCTGTGGTCCTGTTCTTAGTACCACAGAGTCCACATGGAAGGTATAAACACTGGATATTAATATTGCTGAGGGCATATAGCCAGGAGTAAGCTGACTGGAACTCTTCAGTGGTGGAGAAGAAACAGCACAAAGGCACTTGCCATTTTCGTAGTGATTAGAGAAAGAAACCTTTTACGTTTGTCTGGATTGAGTGAACACTCTTCTAAGAGGAGCTTCTGAAGTAAATGCAAAGGAAAAGAGTTGACTATTTTTATAGCATATTTAATATATTTGTATATAACTATGAGTATAGTAGGAACCCTCCACCTGCCTTCCACTTTTCTAATCCCCCCCTTTGCCATAGCCCTAGTACAGCCTCATCCGCATGGGTAATGTGCCTATTGTCAGCCTACCTACCAAAAGATAGTGCTGCTGCTTTCTGAGACAGGTGAGACCAGACTCTCATGCCTGGGGATCCTTTATGGGAGGAATAGCACACACTTAGATCAACATACCACAGTCTAAAAGCATCATTTTGAAAGGTAATAAAGCACTTTATTGCAATTATACATTTAGATAAAGTTTGTATCTTAGGCATTAACCATTTTTAAAGGATCCCCTAATCATCACTTAGGTGAAATTATAAATGACACATTTCTGAGAAATGTTTAGATCCAGTGAACCGTAGCAGGTTTATGGGAGTGATTTCAAGGTAGCCAAATAAACTCTGACTTTTGTTTTGAATGTGGTGGAGTCAGGAGATTGTAGATGCATAGTTCATTTAAACACTATTGTAAACCTATCTTGCCTATTGTGTGGACACCAAAAGAGACCAATGAGCCTGTTTGTTTTCAGAGGTCTAGGAAAATATGCATCTGTCTTGAGTAGATACACAGAACTAATCTATCAACGGTTGGTAGTAATATTTTAGGATACGGTAATTTCAAGAATTATTGAGTGTTTTAAATGTGCCCTGAAATGTTGGCATGTCATTTCAGCGTTCCCACTTGAGTTGCTCTTGTAATATTTTTGCACAAAAAAGACTGAGAATGACTGCTTTGGTTGAAGAAAACTATAATTTGGTCTTATTTTAATGTCTCCTGTGGAAACACCGGAGGTAAATTTTGTTGGTAGACTTACTAATTCAGGATATTTCAAACAGTGTTGAACAGCTCACCAGAAATTACGCAAAAGTATATATTTAAAAATTAAAATTCTTTTTTCCACGTGACTGTTTGCATATTTTTTCTGTTGTCATAACACTACATTCCTTGTTTTCCTGAAATAATAATACTTTGAAAGATGAGTATTTAACAATACTTTCTAAGTTGCTGGGTTTTCCCAGGAAAATGTTCTAGAGAAATAGGTTGTATTTGTATATAGTTTGTGGAGACTATTGAGACCCCATCAACACCACCAGCAAACACTGAGGTGCTGAACTAAGCGACAATCACCATAGGAAGTAGTTATAGGAGGTCTTAGAAGTGGTTGGAAGGAACTTGTTCCGAACACAGTTCTCTGGGTTTCTTAAATAAAATGGCTATGTATTTATTTATATTTGTTTATCTACATTTGGTCTCCTGTATTTAATTTATGGTCAGTTTTGTTTTGCATCATTATCTTGTTCTTGGGTCTTATTTGGGGCAGCAGTTGTTACCCTGCCCCCAGTGACTCTCCACTGACAGATAATTGAAACCCTTTGTACATCAGGACGGCAGTGGTGGGTCAACCTGGACATCCCTGCACTTCCTCCTGCTCTGCTTTATTACATTACTCCAACCTTTCTCTAGTGTCACTTGTTGCCTTCAGTGTTTCATGGGCGCTTTGTATATGGGTACTTCCCACACAGTCAAAGGCCAGTACGACAGAAGCAAGGGCACATGTTACACGCTGCCTTTGCTTTTGCCCATCTGGGTAAATGCTAGCAAAATAGTACCTTTTAATGGCTGGCATCATTATTTCCATATATTGAGTCCATACAAATAGTTACACAATGTATGCATACTGAAAACTCTTTAAAAAGTTGATTATCTTTAAATTTCCATAGCCAGCACTGACTAGTAAAGCGGTACTTGAACATGGGAGGCCTCGCTCCGTGAGGATCCTTCCTGTTCACCTGACCTGTGGATATAGTCCTCCCATAGTACTCTCATTGCGGCTTTGGAGTCCCACAGGTAGGGTCGAACTCACAGGGACCCCTTGGAGAACAGTAGTTAAAATACAATCAGACAAACTGAGTTTAATTCTGTAAAAGATGTTTAACTCTGAGGAGAGTAAGTTGAAAATATGCCATCTTTAGATACATGCTTTTAAATCAGAGAAAACTGTAACATTGCTTTACGAAATGACATTCAAATTGTTTGTGTTTGAGTACTGGTTCAAGTTTATTGCTGACAACAGTTTTAAGAATACAACAAACCTAAAATATAGGAAAAGCTGTTATCTTGAAGTTGACACCTTCAAGCAAAAACATTACCCTCAAAAAGTTCCTGATTAAACACTGGATGTATCAGCCAAAACAACTGGAATTTTGAAACCATTCTAAAGTTATTTTGAAATCTATTTTATTGTGGCTTCAGTTGGGGAAAGCTCTAGTATAGCACTTTCACATTCACCCTGTGTAAGGAGTGAAGCCCAAAGACAAGCTCAATTAGTGCTGTATTAAAACCAGTTAGTGCAAAAAAATATAAATATATATATATATATGTTTTATCTTTGTAAACTTTGTTAAATCAGTTAGTGGTTGTATAAACATGCACCAGATTCTTTGCTGTTCTCTGTGGTTCTTGCTGTGCTGTTCTTGACATTGCTGTCCTTACTGCTTGGTTCTGGGTTTAAATGAAAACAGTAGACATAGCTCATCATTTCCGGCTCCCGAGGGAGAGATACACATGGCTGCTGACCTCCAGATAAGAATACCCCCCCCCAAGTAAATAGTTCATTGAGATAAGTTCAGTTATTAGAAAAGACTGGCATTCTTTCAGGTATTACCCTTTTGCCAAAACCCTAAACTCCACAAACGATGGATAATGAATGGTTTCAATGGTGCTATTAAATAGGTTCCCTGGTTTTCATAAGCTACATTTGGAAAACAGTATTGACTAAAATATGGACTGCTGTTACCAGGTGAATATTGCCATTTTAGTTGAGTTTGATACAATTGGTTATCCTTGGTTATCAAAGTTACTTCTTAAGAGGTAAAACTGTGTTGCCAGCATGCCTTCACTCAGGCCTCTTGCTATATGAGCACAGGCTCTACCTACATCTCCATGTACTATCAGAACGTTCTTTTCCATAGACGCCTGTAATGTATTCAGAATCAAAAATTACAGCAAAAGAGCCAAGCAGTAGCAATGGATTTTCTGTTTTTGTTTTAATGTCAAAATAATTAGATCCAAACTTTGTTTCCTTCAGTTTTAAAAATAAAGAATACCTCAGTGCTGCTTCTCAGTATGAATTACCTGCTTTCTGTGGACATAACATGTAAGAGTCACATTTGATTTACAGAAAGACTATTAAATGTTTTTAAATCTGTCAGTGACATTTTCCTTTCTTTATTCAACAGTGGGGCCTAATTGTGCTAGCAGTGTTTGCCTGATAGCTTACATTTTAATTACCACTTAGAGAAACAATGTCCTGCTGGTACAAGACTGCTTTCTCAGCAGTTATGCTCAGTGTTCACCCTCACCCAGTCCTGGGCTACGCTGCTGGCTGCTTTCTACAGTTGCACGGGTCTACTCATACAGAAGGTGCAGTGTGGGGACAGGGACGAGGATTTCTTTCAAGTGTTTTGTTATGATTCATGGAAGCTGTTTTTCTGTCCTTTAGTACTACAGTTTTTATGGAATCAGAAAACTCCTTAAAAGCTTGCAGAAAAGAACTCATCAGTATTTGCTGTTTAACAATATTTGGAAGAATAGCTAACAACTACAAAGTAACTTTCAACAATTTTCATTAGAGTGTTAGGTGACTTAGCTGGTTCTTCACAATAGCCTCAAATTACATTGTGGACATCTGTCATCGCTCAGTTAAACTACATTGTTCTATCATGTTCCACACAGGGATACCTGAACATTTCCATAAAGGAAGCAGCCTTCACACTTAAAGATACTATTAATGGCAGTGCTCCCACGTTACACTAGAATACACACTGGAAGCACAGTATCGTCAGAACACACTCTTGAGTGACTACTGAGGTTGCTGTGATCAAGGGATGACTTCAGACTCTGAAATAAACTGAATAGTAGTTCTTGGAAATAACAGAATGTAAATATAATAAATAGGAAATACTACTACTTTGGTAAGTTATAAAGTATTTTGTATAACACACAAGGAAAACCAAGTACTAGTCATACCACTTTTATTTACATTGTATCTGTTACATTGTTTATTCAGTATAGAAAAAATAGGAATACATTCATAGTATTCTCTTTTAACTTGGTAAGTCCATGTTGTCAAATATTGACTATTTTTATATTGGGTATCTTACCCAATTAAAAAAAAATAAGAAGGAGAATGGACCTAGCCAACAACTCTTATGGCATGTTATTAATACAACAGTAAACCTTATTTCTCTCTTTAATCCTAATTCCCAAAAGACAAAACTACTGATTACTATACTGGCTCAGGAATATGGTTTTAAAAGTAGAAATATTTCATTTTTCCCCCAAGGAAATTTTTAAGATATACATATATATATATATAAACATCCCAGTGTCTAAGGAGAAATTGTATTTATAAAAGCGTCATGCTGCAAAAAAACTCAAGTGGACACACGTAGCAGAACAGACCACCTAAGGGCTGAGGTGTCAACATAATTAGGCTAGAGAAAAACCCACACTTAGAAGTCAGACTTCTAAATTTTTACAACTAGAATCAATGATTATCTCTTTTGGACATAATACTTCATTAAATGGGTCAAACTTACAAATTAATACTACAAAATACAGTGTTTTCCATTACTTTTAGTTGTAATATACACTATGTACAGAAAGTTGCATATCTTAAGCTGAGTACACATGAAGAGCTTTTTAAAAACCAGAGTCTGGACTTATAAATAGTGCAGAAAATGCAAACGCCAGAAAAACGATGCCTCCTATGATTGTCACTGGAAAAAAGGAGAGAGACGATGAGTGAGGCTGCATGTCTTCCACCGCAACACTGCTAACAAACCGTTGTGTTTTCCACTCTCACACGACTCAAACTGTCAATGGCCCAGCATTCCTGATTCTCATTCTTACCTGACAAGCAGAACTTTCTTTGCACACTACTTAGAGCAAGAATTAAGTGAAAGTCTTGGCAAGCAGCAGTTGTATAAATCAGGGCAGTAGGATGGCTTAGCATATAAAGGTGCTGTTGCCAAGCCTGACAGATGATGCCCACAAGCCTCAGACCCCAAACCGCCTTCAAAGGCTGAAAATGGTGGAGCTGGGCGGTGGTGACACATGCTTTTAATCCTAGCACTCGGGAGCAGAGGTAGGCCGACCTCTGTGAGTTCAAGGCCAGCCTGGTCTACAAGAGCTGGTTCCAGGACAGCTAGGGCTGTTAGAGGGGAACCCTATCTTGAAAAACAACAACAAAAGATTGAAAATGGTCAAGTCTCACACAGGACCTGCCTATCATAAACATACTTCAGGCCAGTGGGTTTTTCACTGGCTTAGAAGCTGAGTTTGGCTATGTTTTGGTCAATTTGTAATTTAATTTGTATACTTGGGAAAAGTCAGTTTGCAGAAGCAGGTAATGTACACACAGGTCTAAGTGATGAGCATGAAGACCAGGTGGTCTCTAGAGAGATGAGCAAAGCTAGCATGCCATTTCTGTTATGTCTGATTTTCAAGCATTAGAACACGTTTGCATTTTAATTAGAGACCTTACCTGTTCTAACAGATATTTTTTGTGCTATCATCCTTCCTCCAATTACTGCCAATCCAGTGCATAAACAGTGTCCCACTGTTCCACCCACTGCTACACCGTAGGGATCCTGGAAGCAGATGGAGCTAGTGTTAATTTAAGTTAGAGATGCTGTTTGAGAAACATCAGTATTAAGTAGAACTGAAAATGGATCATGAACCACATAGCATCATAAACAGAAAAGTCCAGATATACTCTAACTTTATGAAACAGAAAATAGCTGCTTCAATGAATGTGGACAATACAAGGCTAGATCTGAATACTGAAATCCTGTATCGTACAATATTGCTGTGTTCCTGAGAGCAGAAATCCTACCTGATTTAGCTCAAAGTAAGGAATAAATACCAGAATGAGCTAGAAGGTATCAAATTGGGGGAGCAGTGAAAGCCCCCAGGAAAGACAGCCCAGGAGAATAGGTAAGAACCCCATGTATCTCTCGGAGAAGAGGAACAATAGAGCACTGGAGTAAAGTTTCTGCAAACAGTGAGGAGGCCTTGAGGAGTTATGTCAGGAAGGCTGAAAGCCAGGGATGGAGTGTAGGTTGGCACTTGACTTCTGTTTCAGAGGCCAAGGTTCAGTCCCTAGCTACAAGGGATCCCTATGAACACTTCCCTGTCTTGAGATACTGACTGATTTTAACACAAGTGGGTTTCTGCTTTCAAAGGAAAAGCAGTGATGCCTGGACTGGGGCAGGAGACGAAGACGAGAAAAGCAGATGAGTGGAAACGCACATGGATGCCATGAAGGCATCAGGTGTGACAAACTAGTAACTGAATAGACATGGTAACACTGGTGTGGTAAGACTGGAGGACAGTTCAGCAGTTAGTAATATTCGTTGCTCTTCTTGAGGATGAGAATTCTTTTTCATCATGTCGGGTGGCAGGCACACTACTGCCTGTAACTCCGTTTTCAGGGAATTCAGTGCCCTCTTGTGGCTTCTACAAGCACCCACATACACGTTGTCATACACAGGCTCACAATACATTAAATATGTTTTTAAAGGAGCAGAGGAATGAATTATGGGAGCTGGCAAGTGAAAAGTAGGATGTATTCAGCTGAAAGCTAGGCACAGCACACTTGTAATCTCAACTCTCAGGAGGCTCCGGTAAGTGGACTGCCTGAGGTTCAAGGTCAGCATTGGTTAGCTAAAGCAATTGTCCTTTATAAAAAAGGCCAAATTTGATAATAACATCACCTGAGAGAGCACAGAAAAACTCATAGGACAAGTTGGTCAACAGGACGAAAGCTACCCAGTGGTTGGCCTCAGCAGGTGAACATCTGTGATGTCCGATAAACTGGGAAAGGCAACGTAAGGATGGTGAATTTATTTGGGTTCACAGCTCAAGAGAACAGTTCATCATGGTAGAGGGTAAGAAAGCAAGAACTTGAGGCAGTGGTCACTAGCATCCACAATTAAGAAGCAGTGATGAATGCTTGTGTCCAACTCACTTTCTCATTCCTAAACCAGGGAATGGTGCCTCCACCCCCAAGTAGGATCTTTCACCCTAATCTAGTCAACATAATTCTCAGGTGACTCTAAGATCTCAAGTTGATAACAGATTAACCATCCCACCCTGTGAGGTGAGCAGTTGGGTGGTAGTAGAGTTGTCCTCCTAACCAACCAGAACCATGCTCCTCGAACTCTGGAAAGAAAGAGGAGATATGCGACAGAAGGACCCTGAAGACTGTGGGGGGAGTAATGCAAAAATGCTCCAAAAACTCAGCTAGGAGAAAGGGGAGAAGGTGGGCGTCCAAGACCGCACTGTGGTTGCTGGGGGTGAAGAAAGCTGAGCAACAGGTCAGCAGCCAGCTGCTGGGAGTGAGAAGGCAGCATGTATAGTCAGGACTCAGCCAGCCTGACATGGACCAGAGAACGCACTACCACCGAACTGCTACCCCAGACAACTGCCTCATTCCATGTGAAAATAAAATGGTACTTAAAAAAAAAAAAGATCAGTGGGTTAAATAAAGTCATTTTAACAAAGACTGAAAAAAATGCTCCTTTAAAAGCCAAACGGCATGATTTACACAGAGACGGAGAGTAGCGCTGACATGGAGTGCTGTGTTGGGAGCTGCTAGCCACCCTATGTATCCCACACAGTGGTAACTGCAGGTACCAGCTGACCCTGCAGAGCTTCCACCACAAGCTTATTTTCAAGGCCCAATTCTGACATCCAAGCGGAGACAGGACATGGCCATTAAGGAGCATTTTAAAAGGTTGTTTATGAGAATCAAATAATAAGAGATCCTTTTTTCCGTCTCTGAATAAAGCATTCTTAGGCTTCTTTCCGTGTAATCTCAGTCCTGGCCTGGAAATGCTTTCTATGTTAAGCTGGAGGACTATGGTAAGGAACATTTTTGTTTTTTTTGAGACAGGTTTGTGTTACAGCTCTGGCTGTCCTGGAATTTTCTTGTAGAACCGGCTGGCCTTGAACCACCAAGATTCCTGCCTTTGCCTCCTGAGTGCTAGGATTAAAGGTGTATGCCCCCTAGGAATGTGATCTTTCAGAGAGACATTCCCAGGATTTAAATGTTTCAGTGTAAAATAATATAACTGATCAAACTTAAGATCAAGAGCATGCAGCTCCCCAGGACATCAGCATCTGTGAACAGAAACTGGCATCTCATAGAAGATGACATCAAACACCCTCCCTCCTCCCAGTAGCAAACTGATAGGTCTTTAAAATATGTGTGCCCAAGGGCACCCGCAGAAGACAGGCTGACTTCTGGTCCTGACTCGAGTCACCCCACCTCGCGAGTGAAAGGGTCGGAAGATGTCTTCTAACTGCATTGCAGTCATCGGCTTCTAGTGCTGAGGGGACAGAAATGCTCTGCAGACAGTCTGCAGCGTCCCAAGATGAGCACTGCGAGCATTCTGATGTCCTAGAACCTATGTGTTCCTCTCTATTTCAGAAGTAACCCTCCTTGGGTCAGTGTAAACTCACAGGCAAATGTGCTTCAGAAAACTTCTGAGTCATTAAAGTGATGTTGAAAAATGATTAATCAAAGAGCTGCTCAAAAATGTATGAAGAAGTAAGCGAGTTCCCCTCTGTTACATCAATTTTTGCTATTAAAAATTTTGTTGTTTTAAGACAGTCTCAGTATGTAGCCCAGGCTGACCTGAATTCAAGATCATCTTTGCCAGACTCCCCCAGTGCTGGGATTACAAGCAAGTGATCTACTAACTTCTTTCCCAATGAGCATCTAGAGAAGACACGAAGGGAGGGAGAGCCAGGCAACAAAGACGACTGCCACAGCTTTACTTTGGCAAAACACAGGGAACGGACCCAGCAAGATAAAAAGAAAAGAACAATTATATTTGGGTTCAAGAAGTACAGACATGGAGAAAGTTTGGAAGGCTAATTCCAGGTCATAAAATGAACAGATGTGTCCAACTTTCAGCATGGATAGTCAGCCTGTGGCCTGCTTGCCCACTGGTGTGGAACAATGTGAACCGTGGTCTTGATACAAAAGCAATCAAACACTACTCACCTCTCTAGCTGCCAGAACAATGGTAGTGAGTTGAGAGCGATCTCCCCATTCTGCCAAGAATGTTAAAGTGAGAGCTTGAACAAAAATGGGTGAAATAAAATGCAACCACTTCTTCTGAGGTATTGTTGTGCTTGTACCAGTTTCAACATCTGGTCCATTTAAGAGTTTGGTTCGTTGAAACTGAAACAAATAAAAATTACCATTAACCCTAGTAAGTATATCCAAATAACAAAGTCACTCAACCCTTCAATGCATTTAATTGCACAGACATTCACTAAAGAATATATATACTCTGCATCCTGACTGCCCCTTAGCCACCAGCCTCACATAGTATCAGCTTTCCCACTCCAACAAAACCAAACAGTATGCAGATGCATAAGAAATACTTAGAACTAACAGTTCCCAGAACCCAGACACTGGCCATCAGCCTAAAACATTTTCCTCCCTGCCACATTCACAGTAACCCAAAAGCACATCAAAGCCAAGTTCTAGGAGTGGAAACTAATCAAGTTCACCCACACATAAAGCAGGGCTGTGTCCCGAGTGCCTTTGGCATGTACCAGTGACAACTTACTTCTTCATCCTTCTTCTTTAACTCTGCCTGAACTTCTTCCAGCTCCTCCTGACCCTCATCTGGGCTCATCTTCAAACCTTCCCGAAGCATTCTAATGCCAAAAATGGCAAAGAGTGCAGTTGAAACATAGTAGGTATACACCCTGGGGATGACTGTCGTGGCATAGCCGAACAAAACTGTAAGGAAATGCCAACAGTGTTAGGTGTCTTCCACAGCAGGTAAACTCAAAGATACTGTAACGTACTTTGTTGAAGGAGAGCTGGTTCACATTAGACACATCCGCTATGTAATACTTCTGCTTCTTTCTTTCCAGAACTGAGTTTTAAGAATGTCAAAGCTCACTGGCTTTCCATGACGCCCACATCTGCCACAGGGACCTTTAAGATGCTGACCTCCTCTCCAGCCATGCTCAGCTAGAGGCTGGCTTCCACTTACATTTGTGCTGGGCACAGGACTTGAGCCAGATGGACTGATGTCCTCTAACAAGTTCAAGATTTTATAAACTGGAAGCCACATACCACTCTATAAATAGGTGCCTCTTTGTCACAGATCTTTAAAAGATCAAGAATCATGACAATTCTCTTATAACACAATTCACACTGTTCCTTTTTAACTATGTAAATTTAGCGTATCTTATGAAATACTAAAAATTCCTTATAGGTATGTGTAGACATACCAATATGACATATATTTTCTATCCTTTGCCTACTGAAAGGGCAAAGAACAGATGTTTTGGTAACAAAGCATTCTTGGGGAATGTCCAAGAAGAGGCTGACCAAGCACAGGATGCACCTGGTATTCCTACAAGGTAAGGAAGGGCAAGAAGCTGCCCCAGGACAAACACAGCAGCTAGATAGGCTCCCACAGGCCAGCCTGGGACAATGTGGTCAATGAACACCTGGAGAAGGTGCATGAGCATAAGAGCGGGAGGAAGGAGTGCAAGGCCAGAGCTCACTCGTGGAGAAAGAAGCCAGAGTTAAGCTACCATTCTTGAAAGCATTAAGGGAAAAGATGTGAGAATTATACTACATCTCTGGGGAAATGTCGGTAAAGAACAAGTTATAAATTGTGTTACAGTGTGTCCCCACAGGCTGGATATTAGCTCCAAGAGAACACTATGAAAAAAAATCCTGAACTGGACAAGTCAAACTACAATGTCACTGAGGAAAAAAATGGATGCCATGTGCTTCCATGAGATACTCTTCTGAGGACACAGGGACACTCACGGGCTTCTGGCTAAGAAGATGAACTTGAGTTTAACCATGTGCAAACATCCCCCATGAAAGAGGAAAAACCACAGGGTGTGGGCTTCCCCCACCACACACCCTGTGTCCCCAACAGCAATTGGGAGAGAGGGGCCTGCACCTTGCCTATGCAAAACAGTAGAGTTGGCCCTGGCGATATGTGTGAAGAGGACCTGAATCTGAGGACAGCACTGGCCCTGCTCCTTGCTGCAGGCTGCACTGGTGAGCTAGCCACGACAGTCCAGATCGTACGGACAGTGACCATGAGGGAAAGCTGGCAGACTGGCCAGGCTGACCAACCCAGCTCTCAACACAGATCCAGAACCAGGGCTATGTGTTGGCTCACCCCAACATCCACCTCATCTGTGAACCATTGGAACATATGGAGGGGGCGAACCTACAGACCCGAAACAGCAGGATCTCCATGACACAGGACAACAGAATGTCCAAGAGGAGCCCCAGTGAGAGCCCGGCAGTATAGAGGAGCCAGACCAATGACTGCGGCAATGAACACTTGCGAATAAAGATGAGTGAACTAAAGGGTAAACTGCGGGACTCAGCCGGCCTTCTTTTTTTTTTTTTTTCCTTTCAAATTTGGTTTTATTTTGGGGGGAGATTGCAAGGGCAGAGAGTGGATGCAACAGGACAGGAAGATAAGTGGGATAGGAATGCATGATGTTAAGTCCACAAAAAAAAAAAATCAATAAAAAGTACTATGTATAGTGTGTCTAAGTACATTCTATTTGCCTAAAGATACAGAAAGTATATAAACATGCCCAGGTTATTTACACAGATTGGCCACAAATGCTAAAGCAACAGGGTAAGATGCTAATAGTCAGTGCACCTGAGCAAGAGCAGTACACCAGTGTTCACTGCACCCTCTCATCTGTGCAGCTTTACATATAATGGGTAAAGCATTTACTGTGCAAGCATGACGACCTGAGTTCAAATCCCCAGAACCCACATAGAACCAGACACAGCAGCATACATCTGTCATCTCAGTGCTCACATGGGGCAATGGGAAATGGGAGTCAGAAGCAGGAGAGGCTCCAGGAGCTCATGGGCCAGCTAAACTCGTATACACAGCTGTGAACATGAGACCTGTCTCCAGGCAGAAGGCGAGGACCAAAATCACTCTAGACTGCTCCCTTACCTCCATACATGTACTGTGCAGATATCCACACTCAACAAGCACAAGCATACAAGACAGAATAGGAAAATAAAACTACATCCATAAAAAATATTAAGTGCTGAAATAAAATGTAGAAGACCCTTTGAAATCTTCCAAACTTAATTCTTCTTTTCTCCCCAGATACAACATTCTCAACTCCAGTGTGGGCCTAGAGACCCACATCCATCCAAGGCCTATAACTGTCTTCTGGAGGCCCGGAACTGAGAAGCACATACACAGCACTATGGGGTGCTTTAGCTCCCGCCCTGTAGTCAAGTTAACAGCAGTTCCAGAACAACTGTGTTACCACACCAGAGGTCTGAAGATGAAGGCTTTCAGTTATGAGAGGAGAGTCCGATGAGGAAGTGCCACAGGAAGACACTTCCCACAGACTTCCAACTCTTTACATGTCTCCTCCACAGCACACAGGAAACAAATAGCATTTAAGATGCCACTGGGTAGATCTCTTTGGTTATTTGTGTATGTATCTGTTTGATGAGTGTTTAGCTGCATGCACGGCTGGCACCCGAGGTGGTCAGCAGAGGGTACTGACGACACCCTGGAACTGTAGTCAGGGTGGCAGTGAGGAGGCTCTAGGTGCTGGGAGCCAGGCCTGGGTCTCTGCAAGGGCGGCCAGAGCTCTCAGCTGCTCAACTTTTTCTCCAGCCTCAGGTTTTATTACTTTAATTTTTTATATGGTTATTATTTTTGGTGTGTGTGTGTGTGTGTGTGTGTGTATATATATGAGTATGAAGGTATGTGCACAGAGAGGCCACAGGAAGACATGGGGGCTCTCTCACTGACCCTGAGGCTCAACAGTTTTAGCTGTCCAGTGAGTTGCACTGTCTCTACTCAACAAAGCTTGGGTTACAGGCATAGGCAGGCAGACGTACCTGGCTTTTTATGTTAGGAATTAAACTTAGGTCCTCATGCTTACACAGCAAGTGCTCTCATCCACTGAGCCATCTCTCCAGGACTGCACTGCGCATATTTTACAATACCGTAATTGCTTTGCTGTATACAATATACCAGAAATAACAGCTTTGCAACTCCTGAAATTTAAGTTTGGAAAAATTAATGTATTTTAGGTAACATCAGATGAAGTACAAAAAAAAAAATGCTTAGGTCCTCATAGGGAGCAGAGCCACCAGGCAGCCCCACAGACAGGAGGACCCGATAGAGACAGCAGAGCCATCGGGCAGCCCCATAGAGAGAAGAACCTTATAGAGAGATCAGAGCCATCAGGCAGCCCCCATAGGCAGCAGGAGGTAGGAGAGGCTTAGGGAAGATACCCAGCAGAGGGAAAGGATTACGCACACATAAGCGCTGGAGAACGGATGGAACTGCATTCTGCAGCATAGAACGGTGCATAAAGACACAGAAATGACGCTGCTAGCATTGTCAATATACAACTGACGGCACTCAGACAGAACATCCCAAGTGTGGCCACCAAGTTCAACTCTACTTCCTACAATTAATATTACTTCATATAGAATATATGAGATCATATTCACCACTAACTACTCCCAGGTCCACTCCCACCCTCTCTATACCCCCGACTTCGTGTCCTCTTTCTTTTTCTTTTTTGTTTTTTTAAGTTAAAGAACTAATCAAGATCATATACTCCTGGGTATGAAGCCCTCCACTGGAGAATGGTTGACCTACCATGACCACAATCAAAAAGAAAACTGTCTCTGCCTCCCTAAGAAGCCATCAGCTGTCCATAGTTCCAGAGTCTAGGGTGGGGCTCCTGAACTCCTTCCCGGTTTACTCATGCTACAGTGCAGACAGGCCTGCTCTTGTGCCAAGAGTGACAGCTGCTATGAGTCCATGTGTACAGTGCTCCGTCATGTCCAGTGTGCAGTGCCCTGTCATGTCCATGCGTACAGTGCTCCGTCATGTCCAGTGTGCAATGCTCCGTCATGTCCAGTGTGCAGTGCTCCGTCATGTCCAGTGTGCAGTGCTCTGTCATGTCCAGTGTGCAGTGCTCCGTCATGTCCAGTGTGCAGTGCTCCGTCATGTCCAGTGTGCAGTGCTCCATCATGTCCAGTGTGCAGTGCTCCATCATGTCCAGTGTGCAGTGCTCCATCATGTCCAGTGTGCAGTGCTCCATCATGTCCGTGCGTGCAGTGCTCCGTCCTGTCCGTGTGTGCAGTGCTCCATCATGTCTGTGTGTGCAGTGCTCCGTCATGTCCTGTGTGCAGTGCTCCATCATGTCCTGTGTGCAGTGCTCCATCATGTCCAGTGTGCAGTGCTCCGTCCTGTCCGTGTGTGCAGTGCTCCATCATGTCCATGTGTGCAGTGCTCCGTCATGTCAGTGTGTGCAGTGCTGCATCCTGTCCATGTGTGCAGTGCTCCGTCCTGTTCATGCGTGCAGTGCTCCGTCCTGTCCATGTGTGCAGTGCTCCATCATGTCTATGTGTGCAGTGCTCCGTCATGTCCATGTGTGCAGTGCTCCGTCATGTCCATGTGTGCAGTGCTCCATCATGTTCATGTGTGCAGTGCTCCGTCATGTCCAGAGTGCAGTGATCCATCATGTCCACTCTAGTCTTCCCTGACCTCAGGCTCTTACATCCTTTAACCCCCAACCCCTCTTCTGTGAAACATTACTTCTGAAGAAAAAAACCTATTGCTGCTATAAAATACTAATACCTATACTAATTTTCAAATTGTAAATAGTATTCAAATTATTCTAAATATCTAAAATACTCGTGTTTATAAAAACACAAGTTTTAATTAAAAATCAAGGCATCAGAGAATCAGAAATTAACCTTGCTCTACATTTTTTCTTAAGTATTATTATTATTATTATTATTATTTTTTTTTTAGTTTTTCGAGATCCACCTGCCTCTGCCTCCTGAGTGCTGGGATTAAAGACGGTGCGCCACCACCGCCCGGCCTAAGTATTATTTTTTTTAAAAAAGAAAACAAACTATTCTTTTTCATTTTATGTACCAATCCCAGTTCCCTTTTCCTCCCCTCCACCCATTCCCTCCACCTTATGTCCCACCCCAGTTCCCATCCACTCCTCAGAGAGACTAAGGCACATTGCTTTGGGGCAGGTCCAAGACCCTCCCCATTATATCTAGGCTGAACAATTTGTTCTTCCAAAGAGAATGGGTTCCCAAAAAGCCAGTACAAGCAGTAAGGATAAATCCCGGTGCCACTGTCAGTGGCCACACAGTCTGCCCCAGCCATACAACTGTCAACCACATTAAGAGGGTCTACTTTGATCCTATGCTGGTTCCTTCCCTGTCCAGCTGGAGTTGGTGAGCTCCCATTAGCTTAGGTAGACTGTTTCAGTGGGTGTCACCATTATGGTCTTAACCTCTTTACTCATATTCTCACTTCTCTCACTCTTCAACTGGACTCCGCTGCGGGTCTCTGTCTCTATTTCCATCTGTTGCTGGATGAAGGTTCTATGGTGACATTTAAGATATTCATCAATGGGCTGGAGAGATGGCTCAGAGGTTAAGAGCATTGCCTCCTCTTCCAAAGGTCCTGAGTTCAATTCCCAGCAACCACATGGTGGCTCACAACCATCTGTAATGGGGTCTAGTGCCCTCTTCTGGCCTGCGGGCATACACACAGACAGAATATTGTATACATAATAAATAAATATTAAAAAAAAAGATATTCATCAATATGATTACAGTGCAAGGCCAGTTCAGGCACCCTCTTCTCTACTGCTCAGGGTCTTAGCTCAATGCATGGGCACAGGAGACCACGCCCTAAATATAACACCAGTAGCACAGACACTGGGAGCAACAATAAATAAATAGGACCTCAGGAAACTGAGAAGTTTCTGTAAAGCAAAGGACACAGTCAGTAAGATAAAAAGGCAGCATACTGAATGGGAAAAGATCTTCACCAACCCCACATCAGATAAAGGACTGATCTCCAAAATATATAAAGAACTTAAGAAATTAGACATCAAATTCCAAATAATCCAATTTAAAAAACGGGATATAGAACTAAACAGAGAATTCTTAACAGAAGAATCTCAAATGGCTGGAAGACACTTAAAAATATTCAACATTCTTTGCCATAATGGAAATGCAAATAAAATGACTCTGAGATACTATCTTACATCTGTCAGAATGGCTAAGATCAAAAACACCAATAATAGCTTATGCTGGAGAGGATGTGGAGTAAGAGGAACACGCCTCCATTGCTGGTGGGAATGCAAACTTGTACAACCACTATGGAAATAAGTATGGCGGTTTCTCAGAAAATTGAGAAATCAACCTACCTCAGGACCCAGCAACACCACTCTTGGGCATATACCCAAAGGATGCTCAATCATAATGTAAGGACATTTGTTCAACTATATTCATAGCAGTATTACTTGTAATAGCAGAACCTGGAAACAACCTAGATGCCCCTCAACTGAAGAATGGATAAAGAAAATATGGTACATTTACACAATGGAATACTACTACTCAGCAGTAAAAAACAATGAAATACTGAAACTTGCAGAAAAATATATGGAACTAGAAAAAATCTTCCTGAATGAAGTAACCCAGACCCAGAAAGAGGAACATGGTATGTACTCACTCGTAAGTGGATACTAGCTGTAAAGCAAAGAATACTGAGCCTATAGTCCATGACCCTAGAGAAGCTAAGTACAAGGTGAACCCTAAGAAAAACATGCGTCGATCCACCTGGAAAGAGGAAATAGACAAGATCACCTGACAAAATTGGAAGCACAGGGGTGGGAGAAGGGAGGGCAGAAGGGGAAGAGAAAGGGAGAAGGGGTGAAGTGGAAGGAGAATTTGAGGGAATGGAATAGTCGAGATGGAGGAAGGACAGAGATGAGGCAAGGAAAGAGATATTTTGATTGAGGGAGCCATTATGGGGCTAGCAAGAAACCTGGCTCTAGAGAAATTCCCAGGAATCCACAAGGACGGCCCTTGCTCTACATTTTAAGAAATTAGTTTCATAATAGTAAGAGGCAAATGGCAAAGTCCTCCAAATAAACTCTTATCACTATAGAACAGAAACCACAGGTGGGTAGAAACTATTATCTGTACTTCTCAGAGAAGAAGCTAAAATCCAGGGGTCAGTTAACTTAATTCACTAGGGTATGCCATGGAAGTCAGTCTCAAACCAAGCTGTGGCTCAAAGGGAAATACCGTTGTCTAACACACTGTGGTGGCCTGAGGTAGCTCTCACATAGCAAATAAATACAGCTCGGTTGAGTGATAAATTGACTTTCTTGTGGTCTAACATCTTAGAGCCTATAAAGCAATAAACCGAACCGTAACATAAGCAAGGTTAAAGAATGCTTCATTTCCCATAAGCGGGGTAAGAAAAAGATTAATAAAAACAAATGAAGGCTGCTTCTCAGTGCTACCACCCAGTGTGCCTCAGGAAGTAAGCACACAGTTTTCTGTGGCCTCTTGAACCCCACTTCTAAAACTACAAGTATAAATGAACTTATCTGGACAGAAAAAAAAGAAAAAAAACTGAACTTGAATACAATTAAAAAATTAAGAATTAAGGCTAGAGATGGCTCAGTGGTTAACAGTGCTTGCTGCTCTTGCAGACCCAGGTTCGGCTCCTCACACCCACACAATGGCTCACTACCATCTGATACCCTCTTTCAAAGTCTGCAGGGACCAGACACACTCATGCTGCAAAACACATGCAGACAAGACACTCATACACACAGAATAAGTCAATTTAAAAAATAAATAAAGATTGCCAGGCTGCGGTGGCACACCTTTAATCCCAGCCCGTGAGAGGCAGAGGCAGGTGGATCTCTCTGAACTCAAGGCCAACCTGATCTACAGAGCAAGCTCCAGGACAGTTAGAGCTGTTACAGAGAAAACCTGTTTCGAAAATAAATGAATGAATACATAAAAATTAAGGGCAAAAGCCACCAGTGAATAAATGACAGGAGTATGTATCTTGGCTCTGAATAGCTAAAACTTCCATTTAAGAAGTAAAATCTGGGTTTTAATAATGTATATCCTGAAACCATTTGCTCATTTGTTGTTTACTAAAGTCTGGGGATAAACAGATTTCAATGTAACCGGGTGATTCAAGACACATATCATGTTCCCTAGGAAAGCACCCTTACCCGACAAGCATGTCATCAAGGCCAAGGCAAGCATGGCACCAGCCAGCACAGTCAGCCGGTTATAACGCATCGCCATGATGGCTGCTATGAAAAATGTCTTGTCGCCGAGTTCAGACACTATGATGACTGATATGGCAGCGACAAATGCATGGATAAATCCCAGATTCGTCTGGGTAGCTGCATCTTCTCTGTTGGTATGAACTGGGGCGGCTGGTGTAAGTCCTTTCTGAAAATTAAAGAAAAAAAAAACAAACAAGAAAATGTTTAAGTCATTTAACTGTCATTCTCTTAAATGAGAAGAATTATTTTTTGTCATAGCCATTCCACTAATTTATTGCTTTAAAATTCTGAATATCATTAGTAATAGCAGTAGCCCATAATTCAGCTCTCTATACAGATCAATACAGAAGAGTACATTATGTCTTGACACCATAATTACCTTATTTTCTAAGTATGAGTTAGAGTCAATTCACTGCTGTCTCACTCAAGTTCTCACTAGTAATTCAGGTGAAGACTCAGGTGTTTATCAAACATTCTCTGACATGAGGCTGACAAGACCTATCACTAACACTGTAAAGGCCTACACGGGATACAGGAAGCTCTCAAAGGCTACAGTCAGAGCTGGCTGCAGCTAAGACGAGGTTTAATATAGCTGGATGTGTAGATGGTCCTGTGATGAACTCTAAAAATATCCTGGGAGGTTATCTGATAAAAAAAAAATCAAAGCAGTCTTGGTGGATAACAACATAACAGTATGACAAACTTCATTGGCCTTCCCCAAAGTTGGCTAGAAAGTTCCAAAGCCCTGCCCTTTAAGAAGGCACTGACCTCTGTCTGAAGGTCATCAGAAATGGAGAGATTCGAAACCCAGGGCCTAGCAAGCAAGTAGAGGCAAACTCTGCCTGTTCAGTTTGTTTGTTTGCTTGCTTTTATTATTTATTTATTTATTTATTTATTTATTTATTTATTTATTTATTATGTATACAATATTCTGTCTGTGTGTATGCCTGCAGGCCAGAAGAGGGCACCACACCTCATTACAGATGGTTGTGAGCCACCATGTGGTTGTTGGGAATTGAACTCAGGATCTTTGGAAGAGCAGGCAATGCTCTTAACCTCTGAGCCATCTCTCCAGCCCCTGTTCTCAGTTTTAAGAGATCATAAAAAAGGAAAAAAGGAAGGGAGGGTGAAGAGAGAACCTGTAAAGGATGGTTACAGAGCAGGGGTTTTATACAGCCAGCAGAGATGTGAAATCTAATACAGTTAGTTCCTGGCTCGCTACTGAGACGCTAAGGTAATCAGATGAATACCAGGAAGGACAGTGTGTCTCGGTTTCAGTAACTGGGAAAGTTTTCACGTGGCTCTAGCTATGCTATATGTAACATTTTCCACTGTTATTGTGTACACTATTCCTCAATGAATGACATAAACTTGACTTTAGCTGCTACAGGGAACATTAGACGGTAAGAGTGGCGCAGACTAGGGGAGACCTCTGAGCCAAAACAAGGAAACCCTCTGTGGTCCCCACAGCCAGCAAGCACTGCAGTACAGGTTCTCTCCTTCAGCACCTTAGTTCTAGTTACACTCCTTTAAAATAAGCTTATACCTGGCCCAATAAATAGTCTGTGAGCATGAAGCTTTCCAGGAGACATAGGCACTTCAACTAGGACGTCCCAAACACGTACCTTCCTGCTGGAACCCCACCCTTCTTCCCCACACTACCCTCCTTAGGAGACAGAGTCTGGAAGTCACCATCTTGTTGCGTCATCATCCTCCTAAGTCCTGGGGTTAATTACAAGCACCAACCACCACATAGCTAGATTTTTTTTATAAGAAAAGACTTCACAAAATTTCAGGATCTTAAGTCCAAAAAAAATTTCAGGAGTAATATACAGCACTTAAGATCATTGGCTCTAAAGCTCAAAAAAGAGAAAATTTTGCATTTTAAATCAAATCATAGTAGAGATAAACACTTCATATTTTCATGGCTTTCTAAGACTTAAGTCCTTCGCCAGGTTATTTAGTCTGTTCTCCTATGAAATAAAGAATCAAGTTTGCCTAGAGAATACACTAAAGGGGGAGCTGGCTTGAGAGATGGCTCAATACTCTGCGAGACGACTCAAGTTTGGTCCTCAACATCTACACAAGGCATCTCAAATCAAATCAAGGGATCAGACACCCTCTTCCAGCTTCCACAGGCATGAATGGGGCATACATTCACTCTCTCAAAATACTTTTAAGGGCGAGTCTGGCATATGGCTTAGTGAGTAAAGGTCCTAGTGGCCTACCTAAGTTTAACACCCAAGACTCAGGGTGGAAGGAGAGAACCAACTCCTCCAAGCTACCTTCTGACCTCTATGCATATGTAAATGTCCACACACACACAGATATACGTAGGTACACACATACATAGATGCATAAAAATAATAAAAAATTAAAATGAAACAAAATAAAACAAACACAATCCTCCATATTCTCAAAACTTTTCTTCGGGGAGGAGGCGGAAATTTTTTTTTTCAATAAAAAATTATATTACAAAAAAAACAACTTTTCTACACAGAAGACTAAAGAAGACCAAAAGTTTATTAAGTCAGTCCTGGATGGCCAAAACTGAAGGATCAGGATGTTGTGAAGACAACGAGATTTTTAAAAATCAAGTATTGCAGATGTCCCATTTGGCGCGGGGCCACCCAGTCACGTATTCTCTGTCCAGTTCAGTACTGCAATGGTCTCTGTCTTACGGAAAGGGCTCTTTGCTGAGGGTCAAGCTGCACTGACCTGTGGATGGCAGGTTAGTATTTAGAACTGCAGACAACAGCACTAAGTGGACTCGGTAGGTTCAGCAGTCAGAGAGGGAAGAGGGAGAGGTAGAATTATGCAAATGCAATAGACTCCTGTGTGAAAATCTCCATTTCTTAAAACATGAACTATTAATTGAATCAGAAAATGATGCATTAGCATCTACTGGCTCCCTGGTGTGGCCGGCCTTCACTGAGTTAGTAGTGTCTAGGTCCACAGCTCTAGAGCAGACTTCACACCCAAAGCATTACCAACATTACCTGACTCAGTCATCCGCCCACTAAGGCAGCCATGGCTCAGAACTGTAGTTTCAGGGAGGTCCTCAGGAGGGATGGCGCCTGGCACACAACAAGCCCTCAGGTCTTACACCACACCACAGGATCAGCTCACCAACCTTCTCAGGACCAACTACTCCACGTCCCTTCACTACTCAGCCACTGTTGCTATGCTTCTGTTTGTGTTGCTGGTCCATTGTTCAGTTAAAAAGAGGTAGAGGTAGTGTTTCTATTCAGCTGGCCAGAATGGGCCGAGTCTTGGGCAACTGAGAAGAGAAAGAGTGAAGGGGAAGGGACGAGGCAGTGGCAGGGGTTTCTCTGCAGTAGCTGTGACCCACCTCCATTTTTTATCTTATGCTCTGTTCTTAGTTTTAAAATAAACTTAAAAGAAATCAGTATCACTGTCAAAAGTGTCTCAGGCCTAGAATGTAAACCCTACCTGTATCTATTTCATACTCCTAAGCTAACCACACCAGTTCCCAATATAGACCTTTCTCCCAAGAACTCAGAAGAGCAGTGCTAAGTGCAAAGCACCACAAGCTAAAAAATTAGCTTCATAATGTACTTTTATATTTTCTGGTTTAAATTACCCATTATATATTATACAAAGTAAAAACAGGTAAAATTATTTGAGAGATCAATTTAACTCAATGCACCCAATCACCATTAACTTATAAAGCAATATTTTTAAATTGCCATGAAGTATTCAAACATTTTTTCATACTACTTTTAAAGTGGTATCCATATGCTGATTCTCCCTCACGGATCGGTCATGGGCAGTGTAGCCTGAGCACTTTCCGGGCTTCTGCTGACCACAGCCTCAGTCGCTCAGACTTCCTTCCCCAGTGCTCTTCATTTTGCCCCATTCGTCCGGGCGCCTCAAACCCAGCTAAGAAAATGTCTTGAGCAAGCTTTATCAGGCCTCTAGCCCTTTGCACCCCAGGCCCCTGAAATCTAGCCATATTCATACAGTGACAATATACCACAGAAGGGGTGAGAGCCACAAAGGTGAAGCTGACATTTTTGTAGTGGAAACATATTACTAATGAAATCTAAGAGACAAAGTAACTAAGTGTCCAATCAACAGGAACCTATGAGCGCTACATAAAATATACTCGCTGGCAAGATGGATCAGCAGTAAGGGCACTGACTTCCAAACCTACCAACCTGAGTTCCATCCCTGCGACCCTCATGGGAAGGAGAACTACTTCAACAAGTTGTCCTTTGACCGCCACAAGTGTGATGTGGTCCACATACATTCACATAAACAAACACAGATAGCTGTAATTTAAGAAATTCAAGATTATGAACAAGAATGTTCTATAAATAACTAATATTGAAAAAACTATTAAGATACTTCAGATGAAATCTGTATTACATATGAAGGTAACACATACAGGGAGAAAGGGAGTTATGTACATGATGGTAAATGCACCCCAGATCGCAAGAAACAGTGGGCATTTTCAGAGCCGGAAATCAGAACCAGAACGGCTGAGCCACTTTTCCTTAAAGAGCCAAGTATTTCACAGCTTTGTGGGCTGGATAGTTTTGTGGGAATTACTCAACTCTGCTGCTGTAACTCCAGAGCAGCTGTAAAATACTTTAAGAAATGAAACAGCAGGGCTGTTCCAACAGAACTTCACTCAGAGAAACCAGCCGGTCAGTGGGAATCCAGTCTGTGGAGCCACAGAGTATGAGAAGGCAAAGCGACACCTCGCCCCACACAGCCTTCCGTACCTCTGTTTCTGCCATCATGACCCAGGTTTGCATCACTTCAAAGACCTCTTTGAAAAATGTATTTTTAACTGTGTGTGTATCCGTGTGTGTGCGCACATATGCACACGTGTGAGGACAGGCACCCACAGAATCTAGACAAGGCAGCTGGATCCCTTGGAACTGAAGTCACAAGCGGCTTTGAAGCACCCTTCACGGGTGCTGGGAACCAAACCTGAGTCCTCACAAGGGCAGTACCTTCTCTCAACAGCTGAGTCCCGCCTCCAGCCCCTCCCAAGAACTGTCCCCTGACCTGCTACTCCAGCAGGGCATCAGTTCCTTGTGAGCTGTGGCAGGCCTCGTGCAGATCCCACCAGAAAGGACATACTCTGCACTTATTCACCCAAAGGGCAGGGAGCTCGCAGCTGGGTTCGGAGTT